ATAAATACATGTATATGTTATATAGGTTTTTCTTACATTAACTTAAAACCAGGACAAACATTGTTATCTAGTATTGAATCATGAACAAACTCGTAACGAACTGGTTCTATTTGAGAACATAGCTACTCGTATACAAACAGTCACGCAACTTTATCTACATAAAAGAATTTATATGTATTTTAAGCTTTGTGTTTTCTATTACTTAAGACTAAATGCACAAATTATATACTAACTATATGTTCCGCCTTGCACAGTCATCTTTTTTCAACACAGTGTCAAATTATACGATAAACCTTAATGCTAGGTTCCTATGGCGGGGTATCGGGTTCAAAATGCAATCTAGAGTAAAAAGCAGAAAGTCAACAGTAAAAAGTAGAAAATCTAAAGTAAACGGGAAGATTCTTATCTAAAAGGGTATTTTTATGGTGAAAACCTATAAATTTATGTACTTAGTCTGTAGAAACATCAAGCTTTTCAACTTTTAATCGTCATAATTCTACTTTCATGGACAAAATTTCTCCTTTCTACTATCAACTTTCGACTTTCTACTTTCAACTTTTGACTCTCGACTTTCCACTTCAGATTTTCTACTCAGGATTTTCTAATGCAGATTTTTTCCAATACTATGGTGGCTGATAGTGGCCATGTAATTTTTTCTAATACTATGGTGGCTGATAGTGGCCATGTAATATTTCGCCATTTTCATAACCCGAAAAGACGACATAACGACAGTATTAGTGAGAGCATACGACTAAGTACATAAATTTATAGGTTTTAACCATAAAAATACCATTTTAGATGATAATCTTCCCGTTTACTTTAGATTTTCTACTTTTTACTGTTGACTTTCTGCTTTTTACTCTAGATTGCATTTTGAACCCGATACCCCGCCATAAGTTCCCACTGTTGTGCGATGCGTTACGATAGGATTGTTCCTTATAGAGACTTTTGGCAAGCGGAATTTTACCATCGGTATCAGAGAATCATTGAGAGAGAGAGAGAGAGAGAGGGGGGGGGTTAACGTCCACTCGAACAAACTAGGTCATTTCGAGACTAACACGTGGTTCAATAATTCGCTTGTGTGTCGGGTTCTTTAACAGTGGGAGGAAGCCGGAGGACCCGGTGAAAACCCACGAGATCGGACAGGCGACCCTACTTCTTAAAGCTATAAAAGCCGTGTATCCAACTGCTTCCCTTTCTTATTGTATCCACGTATTAACCAAAAATAGCCGTTCGTTCGTTCGTTCGTAGGATTTTACGTCAGCTTCTACCCTGGGTGATATCGCAGACAAGAACAACAGCCGCCATCTTACTGCGAGCTTATAAACGGATAGATCTATTTGATAAGGTCAACTTCAAGTTTGGTCAAAGGTCACAAGATGTAAGCAGGGCTAGCGCTAATCCCAGCCCTAAGGAGTAGGGTCGCTTGTCCAACCTCGTGGGTTTTTTCCGGGTCCTCCGGTTTCCTCCCACTGCTAAAGACCCCTATGCGCAAGCGAATGATTGAAATAGAATTGAACCATGTGTTAGTCCCGAGGTGACCTAGTTTGTGTCGAGTGGACGTTAAACCCTCCCTCTCTCTCTCTCTCTCTCTCTCTCTCTCTCTCTCTCACTCTCTCTCACCAACAATCACGTGCCCTCACCATATTTACATCTCAGCGACATTGACGAAAATTGAGCTGGCCTTAACAAATTGATTTAGCCCCTATAAACAGTGAATAGCAATAGCTTGGTGACGTCATAACAAATTGTAATTCATTCTATGCTAAGAATATAAAAGCAGGTGGGTTGACATAGTAATATGACAGATCCGGATACTATTTTTAATCACACATTGCCTCTGGCAATTTCGAGTAAAAATTCACAAGCGATGGACATTTTATTTGAGTAAAATATATAGCATAGCCCTTGGCACATAGATATTAAAGAGGTAGTCCCATATATTGGATAATCGAGACTTTGTTTACTATCCTAACAACGATAGCAATGACAATTGAGACTACGCATTTCTCCAAACAGCCCTAAAGTCGCTCAGAATGAAGCAATTTGACTGAAATTTTCAAGATGCACCATCTTCATTACATAGTTTTTAACCTTTATAGCAAGAACTGTCAGCTCTTTAGAGGGGTTGGATGTCCGAATGGTTAGCACGTACGCGCTGTATCATAAGGTCTGTCATTGAGTCAACTGGCGTGGTTTCGATTTTCCGGTTGTACATGACAAGGAGTAGGGTCGCCTGTCCAACCTCGTGGGTTTTCTCCGGGTCCTCCGGTTTCCTCCCACTGTTAAAGACCCCTACGCGCAAGCGAATTATTGAAACAAAATTACCATATATTAGTCCCGAAATGACATAGTTTGTGTCGAGTGGACGTTAAACCCCCCCTCTCTCTCTCCCTCCCTCTCTCTCCCCCTCTCTCTCTCTCTCTCTCTCTCTTGTCAGCTCTTTATCTAAATCTTACATAATGTATCTTTAAGTTAATCGAGTCATTATTACCGAACACAAGGACAGCTGTCTAGTCCTTCGGATGAGACGAAAAACCGAGGTCCCGTGTATACATTAGAATGCACGTAAAAGATCCCTTGGCAGTTGGAATTCGATATAAGAGTAGGCGATAGTGCCGCTGCCAGGGCAAAATTTCCCTCATAGCACACTGTATGGCGTATGCCCGTCTTCATTAGCCCAGTATAGGAGCAGAACAGTCGGACTTTAAACCCCATTTCATTTCATTTCATTTTATTATTTCCGAACGACTCAAATACAAAGCAGTTGGGAGTATTTCTACTCATTTGGGCCGCTAATGTGGCTGATCAATCAACGGGTGTCCTGTGACATCTGGGAATAATCCTTCTGGAATAGTAAAGCTCGTTGTCTGACGTTTGACATCGATGACATCCTTTATCTGAGGAATATATATTAACGAGGATTATCTTGATATACTAAGTAAGTAAGTAAGTATACTAAATGCCTTCGTGACACTGTGATATAACGCCTACATATCAGACTTAGTGTAAAAATGCGACGGCCATTAGTTGAGCAATCCGCAAATAATATCTACGTTGTTTCTTGTTTGTTTTTTTTGACAGGCCCGATCTATTATCAGACCTAAAATTCTAAGTGGTTTTATTTCTGTCAAGTGATGGGAGATTATACTCTGTTAACCCTGTGTAAATAATGACATTTTTTTTTATTTTAGGATGCAGAAAGAAGCATATAATATGGACGGTACCTTTAAATCGTAAGTATAAAATCCTTGATAGTTATATAGTGCCGAAGTGCTGTTTTCTGGTGGTTGTTGCTTATACAACACTAACGACGAAAACTCAAATGAATAGTTAAACATACATTATACAAGAGCTAAATCTGCCTATTGCAGGTCTTTCTTTAGGCCTGAAATATTATCTAAATTATTAATTAGACATTAATTAACTTATACAGACCATAATCAAGTCTAGATGGCATCTCTAGCCTGCGATCTTAAGTGGATTGTGAGCCGATTTACATATACATTATGCAAGAGCTAAATCTGCCTATTGCAGGTCTTTCTTTAGGCCTAAAATGTTTTCTAAATTATTAATTAGACATTAATTAACTGATCCAGGCCATAATCAACTCTCCATGGCATCGGATTTCTCCGATATTAAATAGACTTAGCTTCGAACAACTAGTACGGTAGTTACATATATTCCACACGTTTTGTCAAACCTTCAACGGCTAATATCTTCGCTCGCAATAGAGTAATTTGAATGAAATCTACAAATTATTCATTTCACATTATCTGTTTTCGAACTATTATAGCAAGAATGGCTAGTTCTTTATCTAAATCTTACATAATGTATCTTTGATGAGATGTCAATTCGGATATTGGACAATTACTACTTTAACTAAAATTATATAATAAAATATATACAAAGATACATTATAACAATAGTATGAAATCTACATCCTGTTTGGTCGTCGTACACAAATGTTAGTGATCTTTGATATCTTTGATATGTTCAACGTGTCCCGTTTCACAGAGAGAGAGGGGGAGAGAGGGGGAGAGAGAGAGAGAGAGAGAGTTTAACGTCCATTCGACACAAGCTAGGTCATTTCGGGACTAACACATGGATCAACCTCATTTCAATAATTCGCTTGCGTGTTGGGGGTCTTTTGCCGTGGGAAGAAACCGGAGGGCCTGGAGAAAACCCACGAGGTTCGATATGCGATCCTACTCCTTGTCACGTACAGCCGGGCCAGGGAATCGAAACCACGCCAGTTGACTCAATGACCAACCTTTATGATGCGATAACCATTCGGCCAACCAACTCCCTCTTTTAATCCAAAAACATATTGTATTGCAGTATTTAACAGAAATGAATGAAATGAAATGGAGTTTAACGTCCTACTGTTCTGCTCCTAACCTGGGCTAATGAAGACGGGCATACGCCATACAGTGTGCTATGAGGGACATTTTGCCCGGACAGCGGCACTACGGCCTACTCTTATATCGAATTCCAACTGCCAAAGGGATCTTTTACGTGCACGCCAATGTGTACACGGGACCTCGGTTTTTCGTCCCATCAGAACGACTAGACAGCTTTCCTTGTCAGCCCCTCCGTCCTGCATCACTGACAAGGGAGAACCACGCCGGAAAATCTGGATGAACTTTCTCGGCCAATGCAGGGATCGAACACCCGACCTCCAGGCTAGCGAGCTAGCGTCTTACCCACTTAGCCACGTGATCCCCAGTATTTAACAGAGTGTACGTGTTGAAACAATGCCTGTATTAGAGAGGAATTAAGTGGTGAACATTCTTTGTGTTAATTTGTTCAACCGTGTAATTTACACTAGGAAATGAACAACACAGTTTTGACGGATGTGTAACATTCTGGAGTAGGATGCTATAGGTGACTTGGTCCACGTTCTTTTCACCTCAAACCTTTTATTTACTTCTATATACCTATCAACGTACCTGAAATAACATTTTCCATTATATACCATCGTGTATTCTTTTCGCTGTCAAACATCGATTGTTTCTGTTGTGGATTATAGAAACTGCCATCAAACATGACCAGTTCATTGACACCTAAGAGCAACGTAATCTACGCATTTGACGTCACAAATCAGGCAACGGATATTGACTGGCAGAAAATTTGGATTAGGAAAAAACGGTATTTTATATTGTACAGTTTCTGCGCTCTACTTCACAGCGATCTGGATCAGGCGACTAGGGATATAGCAAACTGAATACCGGAAAATATTACGGAAAGCAATTACAGTTCATTACTGGTGGATATTTCGACTGTGTTTCTGTATTATCATGATGGCTTAATAAAAAAAAGGTGGGGTGGGACCAAATGGTTAGTGCGTGTGCGCTGTATCATAAGGTCTGTCATTGAGTCAACTAGCGTGGTTTCGATTCCCGGGTTGTACGTGACAAGGAGTAGGGTCGCCTGTCCAACCTCGTGTTTTTTTCCGGGTCCTCCGGTTTCCTCCCACTGCTAAAGACCCTACGCAAAAGCCAATTATTGAAATAAAAATTTAACCATATGTTAGTCCCGAAATGACCTAGTTTGTGTCGAGTGGACGTTAAAACCAACCCGCTCTCTCTCTATCTCTCTCTCTCTCTCTCTCTCGCTCAGGATAAAAACTAGAAAATCGTAGTCGAACAGTTGCTCAGTAATAAGGAGTGACTGTTGTATTCCATACAAGTGTGACTTGTTTGTCAAATGTATTGTGAATACCAAGTGTGAAATTATTTGTTTACGAGTCCCCTGTAGATACCAAGGGTATTGGAGACTCCAGCCATTTTCGTCAAAGTGACTTATGGACATTTTTGAGTAATCACTGAACTTGATTGATGGCATCTTATAAATTAAGTTGTACGATTTGTTATACATGTCAGTGTATGTAATTCTTGAAAGTAAAACTGAGTCTATTTGTTAAGACCATCTCAATTGTTTGTCAAGGTCGTTGAGATGTAAATAAGGTTGGTGGGATTGTAGGCTAGGGTTAGGGTAAGCATTGGGGCTAGGTCCAGGGTTAGGGTTGGGATTAGTGCTAGCCCTATTTACATCACGCGAGCTATGACGAAAAATTGAGCTGGCCTTATCATTTAGCACTAACCGGGTAAAGCATACAACTATATTCATCTTGATTGGGCCTTTCATAAAATGTTCGTAAAAGTTTATTTTTTACATTTAGAATTTACAGTTTTTAGAATTTCACTGTATTTTTCAGAAGTAGCGACAGCAAAGTTACGATACCACTACGTAAATCCAACGTGATTGGGCGTTTCATAAAATGTCCGAAAAAGTTTATTTTTTTACATTTACTTTATTAGAATTCCACATGATAATGACTGTATTTTTCAGAAGTAGCAATAGAAAAGTTATCTTTGCAATAGTTGGAGGTTGTTTAATAATAGCTGTTGGAATTGCAATCGGATTAGGCGTGGGCTTACGTTCACAGGAACACGGGCCAAATCCGGTCACAAATGGTCAAAGCGGTAGCCAGTTTCCACCAAAAGAAGAACCAGTGGTCACTTCAACGGAAGGAGTTTACAGATATGCAGCAGTAGCCACAGATTCAGAAGTATGTTCAAAAATTGGGAGGTAAGTTATGTGTTTACTTATGAACAGAATAAAAGAAATAGGAAAGAGAGAGAGAGACAGAGACAGAGACAGAGGGGGGGGGGTATGAACAGAATAAGAGAGAGCGAGAGAGAGAGAGAGAGAGAGAGAGAGTTTAACGCCTAATCGACACAGACTAGGTCTTTTGGGGACTAACACATGGTTCAATTTTATTTCGATAATCCGCTTGCGCGTAATTGGGGTAGAAAACCCACGAGTTTTGCTATTACCACGTACAAATAGGGAATCGAAACCACACATCTTGACGCATGGTTTCACTAGCACGCGTTAAACCACTAGACCCCCCACCCCCCTTTTTTTTAGGAAAAAGGTAGTTTAGATGATTATCCACATGAATTTGTGTGTGTGGGGGGGGGGGGGGGTGGATGGCCGAATGGTTAGCACGCGCGCGCTGTATCATACGGTCTGTCATTGAGTCAACTGGCGGGGTTTCGATTCCCTGGTTGTACGTGACAAGGAGTAGGGTCGCCTGTCCAACCTCGTGGGTTTTCTCCGGGCCCTCCGGTTTCCTCCCACTGCTAAAGACCCCTACCCGTAAGCGAATGATTGAAATAAAATTGAACCATGTGTTAGTCCCGAAATGACCTAGTTTGTGTTGAGTGGACGTTAAACCCCATCTCTCTCTCTCTCTCTCTCGCTCTCTCTCGCTCTCTCTCGCATGAATTTGCGGAAGAAATGGAAGGTAGTATTAATGCATTAAATACAACAGCACCACACCAAAACATCTATAAAAGACATGTAGAAAGTTCTAGTAATAGATGGCATATTCTACCTTGTGCACGACACTCGATGTTTTTCTATTGGGCTATAACATAGCGAATCATACTGTTAATAGAAGATATAATCTGCCGTGTGTACAACACTCTGTGTTTTTATATGGAGCTATAACATAACCAATCATGCTAATAATAGAACACATAATCTGCCTTGTGCACGACACTCTGTGTTTTGATATGAAGCTATAACATAGCGAATTATGCTGTTAATATGTTATTGTTCTGCTTTATTTCAGTGATATGATATTAGTACACAATGGAACAGCAGTAGACGGAGCTATAGCAGCTTTGTTATGTAGTGGTGTTGTAGCTGCCCATAGTACGGGTATAGGTGGTGGATTCTTTATGACTCTTTATGATAGGTGAGGACTTTTTTTCTGGCATCACTACTGTTTCATCAGGACCTGGATATAAAAAGCTTAATCTACTGAAGTTAGTGTCCCTAAATTGGGAAATGTGATAATATACTAGTTATGCAGTTTCCGTCCATAGTACGGAAAGGGGTGGCATTTTGTATAACTGGGATGGGGAAATGACTTTAGATACTGAAGTCGCTGTTTAATAGTATAAGAGGTTGGTGGGCTAATGTGGTTATGGTATTTAGCTACTGAAATTGGTACCCATATCACGGGAAACGTTGTGCGTGGATCTGTGTGGACAAAGGCTTCGGGTACTGAAAGTCGTTGTGAGTATGGGTGGTGTTATTTGTATGACTCTTTAGGATGGGGAAAGGCTTTGTCTACTGGATGTTGTTTTACAGAATGTTATACAGTTGCTCAATTTGTTATGATCAGAAGGATAACAGCCTTCCCAATTCATCATTGTTGTACATAGGTAAAGACAATATATATTCCCGTTGAAGCCATCTATAGATAGTATGGGTAGGGCATCATATAATAGGTGGCGATTTTATAGACTGTATGGTGTTGTTGCTCTTCATAGTACGTGCAAAGTTGGACAAACGAAATGAAATGGGGTTTAACGTCCTACTGTTCTGCTACGAAATGGCTAATGAAGACGGGCATACGCCTTACAGTGTACTATGAGGGAAATTTTTGCCCGAATTTCAACTGCCAAGGGATCTTTTACGTGCATGTCAATGTATACACGGGACCTCGGTTTTTCGTCAAATCCGACAGCTGTTTTCGTCAGGTCCTTCACCCTCCAGACTAGCGAGCCAGTTGGACGATTTTATATACAGCCTGTTGTACTATCCATAGTACATGTAAAGGTGGGCGATTAGCTATGAATATTTATGATGGGGTAGAGGACATATATGTAACGTACAGGTTTCAATTTTCAAAGGGATTATTTTTCTGTTATTCAAGAAAAACTAGAACTGTAGATGCTGTTGATGCTCGTGAAATAGCTCCATTGTTTGCTACTGAAGATATGTATGTAGATGGTAAAGCTTCGTCAGTTCTTGGTGAGTACGTCTTTGTAAATCAATCACTTAATATTCTAAAGTGCTTTAATGAGCGATATGATCAAGTATCAACCTATATATGAATTACAGGTGGCTCAGCGATAGCAGTGCCTGGAGAATTAAAGGGTTTCCAAGAAATACACCAAAGTTACGGGAGATTAGAGTGGAGTACTTTATTCCAACCTACTATAGATTTATGTGAAAACGGGGTACCAGTAACTCGAGCTTTACACAGAGCTGTAGCTGGAAAGACAGATACTCTCGCCAATGATCCAAATTTCAGGTATGCTATCCCTTCTCTGTCTGTACAGCATCAGTAGTTTTTTTTTAAAACAAAACGTGAAATTTCCAACCATCGTATTGTTATTAATCATGTTCACGAATCCACTTGTTTATTTTGGTGGATCCACATAGCCAGGACACTTTTATGTTTGGTGTACTTTGTGTTTTATTAATTTGGAATTAGCAACACCATTCATATCCTTAGCCAACTGAAATGAAACAGCTGGGATTTACTGCATCATCATCATCATCATCATCATCAACATCAACATCAACAACAACAACAACAGCAGCATCAACATCAACAACAACAACATCATCATCATCATCGTCGTCATCATCATCATTATCATCATCATCATCATCATCATCATCATTATTTATACTATTATTGTTATTATTTGACAGCATGTATTACCCGAATGGTAAACCCATAGCAGAAGGTGAAAAGGTCAAACTACCAAAATTAGCAGAAACATTTAAAATTATAGCCGAAAAGGGAGCCAGTGCGTTCTATGTTGGTGATCTGGCACCATTAATTGTAGATGATATTAAAGATCACGGTATGATACTAAACGATCAAATCTATTAATATTTTTTGCAGTGGTTCTCAACCTTTTTTCACCAAAGGCACATCTTGGAAAACATGAAAAAATAGCGGCACACCTGGCTAAATATATATGAAAAATATTTGAATTTTGCAAAATAAAAACATGGCAAGTCATAGACACAGACTAGTCATAGACACATAGAATGACTCAATCTAAATAAAGAAATACACAGCTATGAACTTACTTTATTGCAGTGTTTCGAATTTCATCAGTCGCGCTGTATCATAAGGCCTGTCATTGAGTCAACTGGCGTGGTTTCGAATCCCGGTTGTACGTGACAAGGAGTAGGGTCGCCTGTCCAACCTCGTGGGTTTTCTCCGGGTCCTCCGGTTTCCTCCCACTGCTAAAGACCCCTACGAGCAAGCGAATTATTGAAATAAAATTAAACCATATGTTAGTTTCGAAATGACCTAGTTTGTGTCGAGTGGACGTTAAACCCCATTTCTCTCCCTCTCTTTAGTGAGAAATGTTCTTAGTGTTGAGAACCACTGATTTATAGTCTTGTCGAGTAGGAATGAAATGAAATGAAATGGGGTTTAACGTCCTGCTGTTCTGCTCCTAACCTGGGCTAATGAAGACGGGCATACGCCATACAGTGTGCTATGAGGGAAATTTTGCCCAGACAGCGGCACTACGGCCTACTCTTATATCGAATTCCAACTGCCAAGGGATCTTTTACGTTTTACGTGCACGCCAATGTGTACACGGGACCTCGGTTTTTCGTCCCATCCGAACGACTAGACAGCTTTCCTTGTCAGCCCCTCCGTCCTGCATCACTGACAAGGGAGAACCACGCCGGAAAATCTGGATGAACTTTCTCGGCCAATGCAGGGATCGAACACCCGACCTCCTGGCTAGCGAGCTAGCGTCTTACCCACTTAGCCACGTGATCCCCTTGTCGAGTAGGGATCAACAACCAAATTTGGATTATTTACTTTAATATGTAAATGACATGGCTTTATAGTGTTGGAATCGGGGATTCATAAATACATTTAGCAAACGGTAAATTAAAATCGAATTCACATTCAGACTCGGACGGATTCTCTGCTATCAAGTGTGCTCTCTAAGGTGGCAAATTGAAATCTGTCACACTTTGACAATGTTGTTATCTTAGACATTGTTATCCAGATACCAATTACTTAAACGTTAGTTTAGGAAATATGTCTCCATTCACCAATGTAAACTGTCCGGTTGCATTTCCTGGAAAAAGCACCAAGGACATTTAGAATGCATTGTGGATAATTCACTGGGGATATTGATGTATGGTTACTATTGTCAATGGTATAGGACGAGGGGGGGGGGCTGGCAGCTAGCCTTTCGGATGGGACGAAAATCCAAGATCCAAAGGACCCGTGACATTTTGAATTCGAAATGAGAGTACGCCGTAGCGCCACTGTTGGAGCAATAATTCCCACGTAACCCGTCTTCATTAGCCGATTGGTCCTGAAAAATAGTAAGTTAAACCCCATTTCATTTATAGTGTACCCTACATTCAGGTCTCACGAGTGTGGGGGGGGGGGTGCAGCCGGTGCGCGGCCCCAGGGCCCATAAGAGTCTATGAGGCCCATGCTTTCTAATACTATGTCACTAACCCTTATGACAGTATGACAAAATGGCCCACAGACCTTTAAAAATATTCTTGATTCCTCAGAACATATATAGTACAACTGAATCATCTAGATATGACTAGGAGGGGTGAAGGTGCAAAACAAAGGTCTCGACCCTGCACATTTTTTCCTCTCAAGGGCCCGGCCTACATTCGATGGTGCTAAACAATATGCTCTTAACATTACTGTTTAATTGTTCTGTTTATAATTTGTATAAAATATTTCAAAGGATCTTTTACGTGCACGCTAATATATAAAAGGGACCTCAGTTTCTCGTCCCATCCGAACACTATTATGAAATAAATATCACACTATTGTAGGGGCTCCTATTAAAATCAATTCAACTGTTGTGTTTATAATTTATTTAATATATTTCAGGTGGTAATATAACATTAACAGATTTATTAAACTATTCCGTTGTTAAGAAACGACCAATTAATATAACATTAAACGATGGTTTAACTGTTTATTCTGTTCCACCACCATCAAGTGGCGCTGTGTATGAATATATACTAAATATATTAGATGGTACGTATAGGTCTTTTTTTTCCCTCATAGCACACTGTATGGCCTATGCCTGTCTTCGTTATCTCAGTATTTTTAGCAGGACGCTAAACCCCATTTCATTTCATTTCACGAATAGATCTTATCTTTAACACAGTACCGGGGTGTGTGGTTGAGAGTGGGGTGACAACTAGATTGTTGTTATTATGTGCATATTGATAAATGACCATGATATGTGCGTAATGATAAATGTTCAAATTATTTTAGGTTATAATTTTACATCAGATGATATGTCAACTGACGCTAAGACGGTTTTAACTGAACATCGTATTATAGAAGCCATGAAATTTGCCTTTGCTAAAAGAACAGACTTAGGAGATGAGGATTTTGTGAATGTTTCTGATGTAAGTAAATTTATTTGTACATTAATAGGCGTTCTTTTTACATCGAAAAATATAACATATTATAATCATACAGGGACATAGTTGTAAGTCTAGAGCTGTCCGCCCCCCCCCCCCTCAAACCTTCGCCTCCCCTCCCCCTCCTCCTCTGTCACACCTTATGCATTAACTAGCAGGATACCCGGCTTCGCTCGGGGGTCATAACTCCGAAACCGGAAGTGGTAGACTAACGCCACCTGGCCTATGTTACTCCCCGGTCCGAGCTACGCCTATACTCCAAATTTCAGACTCGGGGCAGACCTAGTGTAGCCGCCAACCCCAAACAGACAGACAGACAAACGACAGTCACAAATATTAGTATATAGAAGATAGATAGATCTTAATATATGCATCGTTTTTGTAATTATATTAAAATTTAAACAACAGGTGATTAGATATCATCTTTATCAGATGTAATTAATTAAAATATATTCACATACGGTATAGTTTATAATGGTTTTTAATTAAACACATTCGTGAGGATGAATGAGTCGACATCACCCCATGGTATTAATTATGAGCGTAATGATTAATATTGTTAGTTAAACATGCATTATGCAAGAGCTAAATCTGCCTATTGCAGGTCTTTCTTTAGGCCTTAAATGTTATCTAAACTATTAATTAGACATTAATTAACCTATCCAGACCATAATCAACTCTAGATTGCATTGCTAACCTGCGATCTTTAGTGGATTAAGAGCCGATTTACTGCATAACTTTCCTTCACGATTTAACGATTAAATGGATAATCGAGACTATACGGTTTATCGTACTGGCTTTAGTAATGATGATCATTGTTAGCTGGAAATTTTAACCGCTTAGTTCTCGGTTCATAATGGATTAATTTGAATGAAATTTTTAGCAAATTGTCTTTACATTATCTAGTTTTTAATTATTATGGTGAGAACTGCCAACGCGTTATCGAATCTCCCATAATGTATCTTTAATAATATTATGTCAGTGTTTTATATTACAGTTAGTTAAGAATATGACGTCAAATGATTTATATTATAGTTAGTTAAGAATATGACGTCAATGATTTATATTACAGTTAGTTAAGAATATGACGTCAAATGATTTATATTATAGTTAGTTAAGAATATGACGTCAATGATTTATATTATAGCTAGTTAAGAATATGACGTCAGATGATTTATATTATAGCTAGTTAAGAATATGACGTCAAATGATTTATATTATAGCTAGTTAAGAATATGACGTCAAATGAGTTTGGTGATAGTATACGACAACAGATAGACGATACTAAAACATTTGATACGATGTATTATGGTCCAACATTTTATGATCAGAATAAAGTCGGTACGTCGCACATCTCTGCAATAGATAAAGAAGGAAATGCCGTATCAGTCACTAGTACTATAAACTTGCAGTAAGTATACCACTGGGCTCATTTCTCGTCGAAACGGTCTGTCTCGGTCTATGTCTGGATTCGAATCAAGCCCACTAACTACTCTTTTATAATAATTCAGAGAGAGAGAGAGATGGGGTTTAGCGTCCACTCGACACAACTAGGTCATTTCGGGACTAATACATGGTTCAATATTATTTCAATTATTCGCTTGCGCGTAGGGGTCTTTAGCAGTGGGAGGAAACCGGACTGGACAGGCGACCCTACTCTTTGTCATGTACAACCGGGGAATCGAAACCACGCCAGTTGACTCAGTGACAGACCTCATGATACAGCGCGTACGTGCTAACCATTCGGCCACCCCACCCTCCCCATAATTATTAATTCAGTAAATAATCCTAAATATACGTTACAGTTAGAGTATCAAATAAAGAAGACGATTTCGTACACTTATAAAGCACGGGTTTCGAATCAGCATTGGGAGGTGCCAATAACCAGCGGACCCTACAGAAAATAATTGAAAAAGAATACCACACGAGAAAGAGTCCGATTCCAGATGTAAAAATATGCTGTAACATTTAATATGAACCATTCTCGATAAAATTTGGACCGCGGTTGCTCAGTGGATAAGGCACTGGCTCACTAACCAATTGACAACTGGAATTCGAAATAGCACCGCTGTCCGGACTCAATTCCCGCCACAGCACATTCCTTGACGTATATACGTTTCCATTTACAGCATAAATGTAGGACGTTAAACACCATTTCATTTCATTTAATTCATTTCATACTTTTCATTTAACTGATAATTTAAAACGTAACAAGTTATGCGGAAATGTATAACACGTTTGGGCATCATATCTTTCCACGCGAACTAACAATACATTCTTTGTCGGAATATTAGACTCATTCTTTCCCTCAATACCCTATTAATTTTAATAATGTGAATATTTACTGATTATTTAACATCCACCAAATAATGAGGAAATTTGTAACGCGTTTTAACATCATATCTTTCATCGCGAACTAACAATTAATTGGTTATTGGAATTTTCGATGAAACGTACATATTGTCGATTTGATGCATTTTAATCCCTACGCAGTTTGTTGGTGATATTCCATTATTCTACTGAAAAAGGGTTTCCAAAATTACGAGCAGAATTTTATTGAACATTGGATAGTCCAAGAATTGACTGGAAATACAAATGGAATTGACGACAAGGTCACGTAAAGATTCCTGCTCGTGGACGATTAATAGGTCAAATGTACCCATTTTTCCATTTACAGCAAGATTAGCGTCCTTTTTTGTTATTTTCAGCTTTGGGTCAAAGGTAAAAGGGGCCCGTACGGGAATTATCTTCAATAACGAAATGGATGATTTTTCCACACCCAACCTAACCAATGCATTTGGTATTCAACCGTCTCCAGCTAACTTCATTAAACCTTTAAAGCGCCCTTTATCATCAATGTGTCCAGCTATAATTATAGACAATAATGGTGACGTAGTGTTGATACCGGGAGCCTCAGGAGGAACGAAAATCACCACATCTACAGCACTGGTAAATAGATTTCTTTAGCATTCCATGACATATATCTATGAAGAGCTAAATGCTCATGACTGTACTTGGGTTTACGTTCACCGTGTACATAGCATCCCATTACTCACTATGTCCTGAACAGAAGAATTTTCAGTGCAGAAAATATGTAACAATATTATACTATCTCAGCCTCCAAGGAGGTTGGTCCAAAATTATTTAAAGGGGATTTCTGGGATGCACTTAGATAAATTGCCGCCCCACAACCCCCAAGAAGTTTAGCTCTCGGGCTATATGTGAGAGCCTTGGGGGTAGCCACGCTGGCTAGACTTTACAGGAGCAAAACTAGTTAATTTTAAGTATTGTAATGTAGACATAAAACGTATAGAGTAACTATTGTTGTTCCTGTACCTATTTGATTTGAGTATCGTGAGCAAACACAACGTTGGAGTCCAAGAGAAGTCTAGAGTAGAGAGTTTACAAGATTATCCAAGCGAAAGTCAACCCCTAGACGATCAAGGGTATTGTGTAGCAATGATATTACAGGGTAGTGCTACAAAAAGATGATTTAATAGTTATAAGATGGGATGAAAAGATACAAATACCACTTCCCAAATGTTATTTGAGAGATATATGTACTACCTGGTCCTCAGTAGCACCAATACCTATTCAAGCACACGATTCACCAGGCATTAACTCCCGTGTACATATAGATATATATTTCAGGTATCGCTATATACACTTAGATTAGGATTAACGTTGCAAGAAGCTGTAGATTTCAAAAGAGTTCATCATCAACTTTTACCTAAAGAGGTGCAGGTCGAAAACGGTTTTCCACAGGTAATAAACATTTTTTACCATTGGTACACCAATCGTGTATCATAATGCGTTTCAGCGCCATTTGTAAGAAGGAACTCGAAGAACGAGGCTAGACATATTCCTCAAGTCATATCAAACAGTGACGCCATATTCTTATCGGACGAGCATGCGCAATAAATATTATCGGTGTAGACTGGAATAACAAGACGCTAGAGATTGCCATTCGATTGAGACTTCTGGCGTATTTCGCCGAACATAGCTGATTTGAAATTAGAGTAAAACAGAGACGATTGAATGTAAATCAGTTTATATATCATATGCGTTGCAACCAATTTGTCTCAATTTCTAGGTTCAGAATATTAGCGATTTAACGCCTTTAAAGTCTAAGAATTAGGAACCGCGAAGTTACACCCCGTGAACACTGTCTTGAACGAGTTACTCCGTAATTCGAAATAGGTTGCCAGACAACGAAATTACACCCACAGCAGCAAAGTAGGCAACAAGAAATCATATCACACTTTCCTCATGATATATTTATTCTTGAGTGTTTGTAAAATATTTTACTAATGACTATCTCCTTTCAGGTCTTATTAGATGGTTTAAAAGCTTTAGGCCACAAAGTGACGTTTTATAATCCCAGTTCATCTGTGGTTCAAGCTATTAAAGTGGAAGATAAGATGTTGTACGCGGTATCTGATGAGAGAAAAGGCGGGAAACCATCCGGATATTAACCAATGAAAACATTAGATTTAGTTCACGTGTGGTAGTTGTGACGTTGTTCGGCTGTGTTCAGTGTAATATAAACCCGCAATAATGTGCCTCATTTTCTTAATTCCGAATTATTTTATTTTTGATAAAAAATGTGGTTTTTTTTTAAATATTTTCATGGATATACTGTATTATGTCGTTTTATATTACATTAGTGAGGCTAAACGTCTGCTTACATCTCATTTCTATATATTGCACTAGTGTTGGCAAGGGAGATTACTCTTGTGGTATCCGTCTACAGTCAAACCCACAATACTCGAACATTTGTTCATAACTTCTTCTATCGGCATTTTATTTATATCAGCTATTCCACGCTTGTAGATTGTTTAGTGATGTGCATGTCAGTAGAACTCGCCAAGTCGCGAACCAGAACGGATAAATACAGCCCAAAATCAACCCAATAGTCGACAGATCGCGTGGGTATAAATGTAACTTATCAGGGGCGGATCCAGGAATTTTTGCAGGAAGGGGTGTGCCAGGTTCCCGTTAACGTAATTTGAGAGTTGACAATTCATTATGATGCCACCATCGTCTCCAAATTACGTAGGCATACATCCAATTTTTTTTTATTATTATGAATTAATAGGATAACATTGTGATTCAATTTAATTGATGCAAAGCATTAATTGTGGTATCACGAATGTCTATATCATTATCCGCCCCTGCTTATGTAAATATGTGTCTGTTCCTTTTTCGATCAATACATTTTATCAATTTTAAGCGTTTACGAAATTCTACAGGTTATCGCCCTTATTATTGTGAAAGTTGAATCTCTTAACAGGAATATCAATCCTGTAAGTGGTCTGATTCCTTCCGTTTAGTGTTTACAAAGATATGACTGATATGAACAGGCAGCACCACCATTACGTGTTGGTGGGTGCCCCTTTAATCCGATTAACTGATTGAATCCAATAGTGTCGGTTTCTTAATTAGATGTAAAAGAAAAGTGCCCGAAACATTCAAAATATACACCAACGGCCTTTAAATAAATAATCACGGACAAGAAGAAATAATTAGGAACTCAAAAAGTCTAGAATGTTTTAAGTCACAGTTAAAGACACACCTATTTCTTACAGCCTATGATTAAAGTATTAAGATAGACTCAGTTTGATAGTGGAGAGACAAATATGCGCCATGAGCATTATGTTTGTAGCTGTATAAACATTTTACGAAATACTCTAAAGGAATTTTACTATAGCCATCATGTTCACCGTAAATAAATGAGCGCAGTGGTTGCTAGGCAGCTTGAAGTGATTATTGCTGGTTAGAATACAGATGTGACGTCATCCTTTGACGTTGGCGTATCATTAGTTGAATTTTTGTACTAGCGTGACTTTTTTTCATTGCAAAGCACGCTCAAGTGCCTGCATTTTAAGTTGTTTAATGGTCTCGGGACTGACGTCCCTCGTGTTGTTTCAATATATTACTTAATGTCTCGCTCTCGGAGAGACCGTTAAACCCGGTTTTGTGAGTCGGAAAATGAAATGAAATGGTGCTTATTGGCACGTCAGCGCCAAGCGGGCTACATTGCCCCAAGCTGACCCAATCAACCACATTTTCAACCACATCCATTACGAAAAAAACCCTAAATAAAAAAGCTTTATTCAGCACAAAATCAAGCGACCGTAACTTAAAATTCATCGACTGAACATTTTCGACAACCTGACTGAAAGTAGATACCAATTTCGTTTCAGTTTATTGTTTGTGGAGTTAAATTTAACAGTTGCCTTTCATTCCAGCGTGTTGTCATGATAAAAAAATGAATATCCTGTTTTGTTTTTATAAGGTTGTCTTTAATTTAAAATCTTTTATTAAATATCATTTATATACTTTCCCTGGTTAATATATATATTTTTATTTTTATATTCAACACTTGATTAATTATTTTTTTTTTTTACATTCTGAATAAATATAATTACATTTATATGGATTTATTTCTCGTTTTTCTATGTAGCGGGGTGATTATATGCCGGCATTAATAACATACATGGTCCCATTGCAACGGGAGAAAGAAATGCGGTTTAACGTCCACTCGACACAAACTAGGTCATTTCGGGACTAACATATCTGCCATAGATAAAGAAGGAAATGCCGTATCAGTCACTAGTACTATAAACTTGCAGTAAGTATACAACTGGGCTCATGTCTCGTCGAAACGGTCTGTCTCGGTCTATGTCGAAACGGTCTGTCTCGGTCTATGTCTGGATTCGAATCACGCCCACTAACCATTATTGTGGTAGGTGTTTTTAGCAGTTGGGGGAAACCGGAGGAGCCGGAAAAAACCCAAAAAGTTGGACAGGCAACCCTACTCCTTGTCACGTACAACCGGCGATTCGAAACCACGCCAGTTGACTCAATGACGGGCCTTATGATACAGTGCGCATGTGCTAACCATTAGGTTCTCCCCCCCCACTCCATCTGCATAAGAGGTAGGTAGTTAAAGCGAAATCAAGCCTTCAAGATTCACAGCCCCCCTCCCCCCTCAACCTTACAATCCTGTGAATGATATTTAACCCATTATAACAGGACGCTATAAAACACAGATTATGTCAAGATTTAATATTAAATTACAATTTAATTTGTCATAAATTGTTATCATAGACAATTGTTATTATAGACAATTGAGACAATTGTTATTATAAACAATTGTTATTATAGACAATTGTTATTAAATCTCTGTTAAAATATAACAGGACGCTATAAAACACAGATTATATAAACATTTAATATTAAATTACAATTTTATTTTATCATAAATTGTTATCATAGACAACTGTTATTAAATCACTGTTAAATATAATTAAATATAACAACTTGGTCATGGTTATCATCGAGTAACAAGGTACAAACTATAAAAGTATTATATCACCTGTTTTGGATTAAACCAAAACAAATATCTGCTTTCGTGGTCATCAAATGGACAGTATAAAATTTAAAAGTATTATATGGTCTGGACTAAAGCAAACAAATATATTGTGTCTGCTCTCGTATGGTAGTAAATGCACTATCAAAACAAGTATTTAATATCTACTCTCATGGTCATCAAATGAACAGTATAAAATTTTTATTAGACGTATTAAACGAGTATCTCCTGGACTAAACGCAAACAAATATAATGTCTGCTCTTGTAAGGTAGTAAATACACTATAACACGTCATACTGTATTTGGGCGACGTTCCGAAAGGTAAACTCTCAACGTTATTAAACATGCATTATGCAAGAGCTAAATCTGCCTATTGCAGGTCTTTCTTTAGGTCTGGAATGTTATCTAAATTATTAATTAGACATTAATTAACTTATCCAGACCATAATAAACCCTTGATGCCAATCAATATACTTGTTCGTTTCAAGACCTTAACCTCTGTGTATCAATCTGAAGTCAATCGGATCAGAATATACGCCTCTAGAGCGTCACAAGATTTTTCAAAGTGATCAAGGACCATAACTTTGGCAGTAATTATCGGAAATCGTTGAAAATCAATAGGATTCTTCGTCTCATGACCTCAAACACTGCGCATAAAGTCAATCGGATATTAACTTTAGCCTCTTGAGCTTCCACAAGATTTTTTGAAGTGATCAAGGGTCATAACTTTGTCAATAATTATCCCAAATTGCTGAAAACCAATAGGCTTCTTCGTCTCATGGACTTAAACACTGTGTATAAATTTAAACTCAATCGGATATTATCTTTCGCCTCTAGAGCATCCACAAGATTTTTTTTTTTTTTTTAAGTGATCAAGGGCCATAACTCTGGCAGTAATTATCCGAAATCGCTGAAAATCATTAGGCTTCTTTGTTTCAATCGGATATTAACTTTAGCCTCTTGAGCGTCCAATGAAATGAAATGGGGTTTAACGTCCTACTGTTCTGCTCCTAACCGGGGCTAATGAAGACGGGCATACGCCATACAGTGTGCTATGAGGGAAATTTTGCCCGGGCAGCGGCACTATCATTCCTTTCATTCCAGCGTGTTGTCATAATAAACAAATTAATATCCTGTTTTGTTTTTATAAGGTTGTCTTTAATTTAAAATCTTTTATTAAATATCATTTATATACTTTCCCTGGTTAATATATATATATTTTTATTTTTATATTCAACACTTGATTAATTATATTTTTTTTTTTACATTCTGAATAAATATAATTACATTTATATGGATTTATTTCTCGTTTTTCTATGCAGCGGGGTGATTATATGCCGGCATTAATAACATACATGCTCCCATTGCAACGGGAGAAAGAAATGCGGTTTAACGTCCACTCGACACAAACTAGGTCATTTCGGGACTAACATATCTGCCATAGATAAAGAAGGAAATGCCGTATCAGTCACTAGTACTATAAACTTGCAGTAAGTATACAACTGGGCTCATTTCTCGTCGAAACGGTCTGTCTCGGTCTATGTCTGGATTCGAATCACGCCCACTAACCATTATTGTGGTAGGTGTTTTTAGCAGTTGGGGGAAACCGGAGGAGCCGGAAAAAAACCCAAGAAGTTGGACAGGCAACCCTACTCCTTGTCACGTACAACCGGCGATTCGAAACCACGCCAGTTGACTCAATGACGGGCCTTATGATACAGTGCGCATGTGCTAACCATTAGGTTCTCCCCTCCACTCCATCTGCATAAGAGGTAGGTAGTTAAAGCGAAATCAAGCCTTCAAGATTCACCGCCCCCCTCCCCCTCAACCTTACAATCCTGTGAATGATATTTAACCCATTATAACAGGACGCTATAAAACACAGATTATGTCAAGATTTAATATTAAATTACAATTTAATTTGTCATAAATTGTTATTATAGACAATTGTTATTATAGACAATTGAGACAATTGTTATAATAAACAATTGTTATTATAGACAATTGAGACAATTGTTATTATAAACAATTGTTATTATAGACAATTGTTATTAAATCTCTGTTAAAATATAACAGGACGCTATAAAACACAGATTATATAAACATTTAATATTAAATTACAATTTTATTTGATCATAAATTGTTATTATAGACAACTGTTATTAAATCACTGTTAAATATAATTAAATATAACAACTTGGTCATGGTTATCATCGAGTAACAAGGTACAAACTATAAAAGTATTATATCACCTGTTTTGGATTAAACCAAAACAAATATCTGCTTTCGTGGTCATCAAATGGACAGTATAAAATTTAAAAGTATTATATGGTCTGGACTAAAGCAAACAAATATATTGTGTCTGCTCTCGTATGGTAGTAAATGCACTATCAAAACAAGTATTTAATATCTACTCTCATGGTCATCAAATGAACAGTATAAAATTTTTATTAGACGTATTAAACGAGTATCTCCTGGACTAAACGCAAACAAATATAATGTCTGCTCTTGTAAGGTAGTAAATACACTATAACACGTCATACTGTATTTGGGCGACGTTCCGAAAGGTAAACTCTCAACGTTATTAAACATGCATTATGCAAGAGCTAAATCTGCCTATTGCAGGTCTTTCTTTAGGTCTGGAATGTTATCTAAATTATTAATTAGACATTAATTAACTTATCCAGACCATAATAAACCCTTGATGCCAATCAATATACTTGTTCGTTTCAAGACCTTAACCTCTGTGTATCAATCTGAAGTCAATCGGATCAGAATATACGCCTCTAGAGCGTCACAAGATTTTTCAAAGTGATCAAGGACCATAACTTTGGCAGTAATTATCGGAAATCGTTGAAAATCAATAGGATTCTTCGTCTCATGACCTCAAACACTGCGCATAAAGTCAATCGGATATTAACTTTAGCCTCTTGAGCTTCCACAAGATTTTTTGAAGTGATCAAGGGTCATAACTTTGTCAATAATTATCCCAAATTGCTGAAAACCAATAGGCTTCTTCGTCTCATGGACTTAAACACTGTGTATAAATTTAAAGTCAATCGGATATTATCTTTCGCCTCTAGAGCATCCACAAGATTTTTTTTTTTTTTTAAGTGATCAAGGGCCATAACTCTGGCAGTAATTATCCGAAATCGCTGAAAATCATTAGGCTTCTTTGTTTCAATCGGATATTAACTTTAGCCTCTTGAGCGTCCAATGAAATGAAATGGGGTTTAACGTCCTACTGTTCTGCTCCTAACCGGGGCTAATGAAGACGGGCATACGCCATACAGTGTGCTATGAGGGAAATTTTGCCCGGGCAGCGGCACTATCGCCTACTCTTATATCGAATTCCAACTGCCAGGGGATCTTTTACGTGCATTCCAATATATACCACATTTCAATGTGGGGGTATAAAAAAAACGAAACGAAATATAGATCTGTATTTTAATCAGATTGTTCAGTTACTAAATGCCTCTAAAAGATTAATAAATACACGGGTGTATAAAGTCACTTAATCAATATGTGTAAAACTAATTCATTTTGATTTATATAATTAGTCACAATATAAATTATAAAAACAACTATAATAAGGATCTAGTAGTAAACCTTATCTATATATAAGACACCACTACAAAATATTCAATATAAAACGTTTACAGTAGATCAACATAACAGCCTACCGTCTCTTTGATCATTTCTATCTGGTCATTTCTACATTTCTATTTGATCATGTCTATATTTGGTCAATTCTATTTGCACAATTTTATTGAGTCATTTCTATTTGACAAATTTTTGGCCATTAAATTCAAACCTTCAAATAACATACTGCACCCAGACAATTCTCTACCTTGAAAATAGATCCCACCCTAAATGGCCGCCATATTCAAAAGTCAGTATACTATTTTGCAATCAGTTTTACATTTTTCATACACACAAATAATTTTCGATTTTATTAAATGGAAGTAGAATAAATAATACATAAAATTCTCGAAGTATACTTAGTGTTCTCGACTAAAGTCGTCGATTTAGGACATAAAATGTTGATCAACTAGCTTTGTGTTTGTTCTTAATTGTAGCCAAAACTATGGTGGCTGATTGGTATCATGTCGTGATGTCGTGATGTCGTGGTGTCGCCCTTCATAAGGCGTCGGGTTATAATGTCGTGATGTCGTGATGTCAGGTTGTCGCCTTATGAAGGGCGACACCACGACATGATACCAATCAGTCACCATACAAAACAGCTTAGCGTTTGCATGGACCTAAAGGTAGACAGATATACACCCCGCAAATCCACACATTTACCAAAACAAAACAAAAAATCTAAAAAAAAAATGAACGTCATCAAAGCCATCTTGGAATTGTGACGTCATATTGAAGTCAGACATTCAATTGACCTTTCCATCGACTCCGCCCAAAATAAGGCTTTGACCGATCAGCTCCGATTACAGTTTCCCGCGAAGTGACGTCGCGTTACCACGCGTCTTCACCTTAGACAAAGTTCATTTTGGTCGTACATAGGTTGAGCCTTAGGCCTTTTTCGAAGAGTGTCGCCCTATGGACAACAACAAGAACAACAAGATGAGTATTGATTGGGACCAGTCCCTAGTCCAAAATCTGCCCTGAGCATTATAATAAAAACAAATTGTACTGATCCGTGTTATTGGTTTAGATAGTTTAAAGTCTGAATTCGATTTTATCGGGAACTCCAAGAGAGGTTGATATGTACTTGTCAAAAATGCATTATGCAAGAGCTGTAATCGGCCTGAAATGTTACCTAAATTATTAATTAGACATTAATTAACTTATCCAGACTATAATCAACTGTCGATGCTATCCTTAGTCTGTGATATTTAGTGGATTTGAATATGTTTTGATGTGGATGAAATAATCGTAAAAATAAATAATCGAGACTTTGTTTATTCTCGTTACAACGGTAGTAATGGCGATCGAGCCTAACCTAACATTGAATCTAGTTTAAGAGTGAAGCAATGTGACTGAAATTTCAGCTCTTTATCTAAGCTTACCTAATGCTGCTTTAATAGAATTAACCGTGAATCAAACGTCCCTGTCTTCTAGGTTCAGGACTAAATGAAACAGTTATAAATGTTGGTCCCTCCTCACAGAAGTCTTTAAACTTGCCCCTTAAATTAAATACACGTAACAGGTTTCCCAGAAGTCTTTAAACTTGCCCCTTGAATGAAATACATGTCACCGGATTCCCAGAACTTTTTGAACTTGCCCCATGAATTAAATACACGTCACCGATTTCCCAGAAGTTTTTAACCTCGCCTCTGAAATTAAATACGCGTCACTGGTTTCCCAGAAGTCTTTAAACTTGGCTCTTAAATTAAACATGCATTATGCAAGAGCTAAATCTGCCCATTGCAGAACTTTCGTTAGGCCTGAAATGTTTTCTAAAGTATTAATTATAAATTAATTAACTGATCCAGGCCTTAATCAACTCTCGATGGCATCAGATTTCTCCGATATTAAATAGATTAGAATGGTTCAGCGATATTTTGATTCAATCAAATATGGAGGACCGAGACTTAGCTTCGATCAACCAGTGCGGTGGTTGAAATTATTGCACACGTCTGCCTAACCTTCAAAGGCTAATATCTTCCCTTGCAATAGAGTAATTTGAATGAAATTTTCAAATTATTCATTTTACATCATCTACTTTCGAACTATTATAGCAAGAATGGTTTTTTTTTATGTTAACTGTCTTGGGAATCACTGTATGTTCTTACGTTTACGAGATCTGTATCGTTTGGTTTACACGGTTTTTGGTATAATCTAGCACCTTCCCAATGAAGTGGGGGAGGAGAATTAACATTAAAATACATAGAACAATTAATTGAGATCAGTCGTAGTCGCCATATTGCTTAAAACAATGGCATCTTACGTTACAGGAAGTTTATCTTCAACACAAGTCCTGATCAGATTCAGATATAAATCCTCCTCCTTTTCTGCGGAATGAACTTCCGTCACGTGCTTTAAGGCCGCCTCCTTCAATAGTTGATATTTATGGCTGGATCCTGTCAAAAGCTTGGCCTCTCGAACAAAATCCTGTATAAAAGAGTAAACTTATTAGGCATCGTGGGCAATCTATGTTAGGACTTTGTAATTCCACTCGACCAAAACTAGGTCATTTCGGAACCGACATATCATATCATTAGCAATTTGGGGAAACGGTACCCAAACTAGGTCATTTCGGAACCAACATATCGTATCATTAGCAATTTGGGGAAACTCGACCCAAACTAGGTCATTTCGGAACCAACATATCGTATCATTAGCAATTTGGGGAAACTCGACCCAAACTAGGTCATTTCGGAACCAACATATCGTATCATTAGCAATTTGGGGAAACGGGACAAGCAACCGTACAGAAAGAGCAGGTATGTTCGGCCTTGACCTTGATATAGTTTGGACTTCAGTTACAGCCACGCCATTTTATAAGCCATCTGCCAAGGGTCCTATTCACGAAATGTAAATTAAAGGACTTCAAAGACGCGACTCTTTCATTGCTTGAGGGTTCAAATTGTTGTACAATTTCTTGCTCTAACCCCATTAAAACACTGCATTCGGAACAAATTTTGTTTAAATTTATGCGAATTAGGCCTTAGGCATGTAACTGTTTTACCTGTATCATTCTGTAAACCTGTTATATTGTGATATATTACCTGGGGTGTATCATACAGTAAACCTGTTATATTATGATGTATTACCTGGGAGTATCATACAGTAAACCTGTTATATTATATTACCTGGGGAGTATCATACAGTAAACCTGTTATATTGTGATATATTACCTGTGGTGTATCATACAGTAAACCTGTTATATTATGATATATTACCTGTGGTGTATCATACAGTAAACCTGTTATATTACGATGTATTACCTGGGAGTATCATACAGTAAACCCGTTATATTATGATGTATTACCTGTGGTGTATCATACAGTAAACCCGTTCTATTGGGCTATATTACCTGTGGTGTATCATACAGTAAACCTTATATATTGTGATGTATTACCTGGGGTGTATCATACAGTAAACCTGTTATATTATGATATATTACCTGGGGTGTATCATACAGTAAACCTGTTATATTGTGCTGTATAATATCTGTATTGCCTGGTATATTTCTACCAATAACCGGTGTACCAAGCTGCATCGCCTGAAATATATCCGTTATACTATCTGAAAGAGGCATAATATATGGGAGAGTAGTAAAGATGCTTGATTTTTTTTAACGTGGATTTCTTTCCCGAATGTAATCGATGGAACAGTCGAGAGAGAGAGAGAGAAAGATGGGATTTAACGTCCATTCGACACAAACTATAGGTCATGTCGGGACTAACTAAGGTTCAATTGTATGTCAATAGTTCGTTTGCGCGTAGGGGTCTTTAGAAGTGGGAAGAGACCGGGGACTCGGATGAAATCCACGAGATTGGACAGGCGACCCTACTCCTGTCCACAAGATGTGAAGAAAATAACTCTAGCTGTGATTATACTCTACAGGGTTCTAGTACCACGTGGTTAAAATAACAATTAAATAATTATATTGGAAAATGGTGTTCATTAATAATAATAATAATAATAATAATAAAAACTTTATTTAATGAGGCAACGTATTTAGTTTGCAAAAAAAAAAAACTAATCTTCCATAGGTCCCTCCTAAACTACAAAGACATATATACATGTAATATCAGGATAAATTTAAAATCATTAGAAATGCAATAGCATTTTAAAGTGGGAAGTTTGATAAGTCACTCCCAAACTACAAAACATATACATTATACAAGTAGAATATAGGAAGAACACTATAATTACACACAAAATAAAATAGAATGCAGTTGCAAGTTTAAAATAATAAGTATGTCATCAGTTGAATATTATGGTTCCTTCAGTGTGCAAAATAAATGAGTTTTCAGTTTAATCTTAAAATTTTCAACATTTTTACACATCTTTATATCAAAAGGCAGATTGTTCCATAAAAGACATGCAGAATAATGAAAAGTACGTTTCATGGATTCCGTTTTGCATTTTTGAAGAAAAAGAGATTTACTGGTCTGTGAACGGAGCAAGATATCCGTTTTAGAAACAAGAGATTTTTCAATAAAATGGAAATTTAGATAAAGTGGAGTATTAAATGTAATAATTTTGAATGATAAGACAATTTTATTGTAAAGAATCCTCTGTGTAAGGGTAAGCCAACCGAGTTTAGTAAATAAAGAGGTGGACGGAGTTTCAATCGGTGCATCAAGAATAGCTCTTGCTGCCCTCTTTTGTAATTTTAAAAGAATGTCTAATCTACTTTTGGTAGCATTTCCCCAAATAATAGAGCAATAATCAAATATTGGTAGTATGTAACTGTTATAAAACAAAATTCTTGTCTCGTAAGGTAAATGATCTTTTATCTTATTTAGGAGAAATATTTTTGATGCAAGTTTTTTAGACATATCTGCTATCTGTGCTTCCCAATTAAGGTCTTGGTCAATTTGAATTCCAAGTAATTTTGCGGTAGTAACCGTCTCAATTTTCTCACCATGGAGTGATAAAGTTAGGTTTTTCTGATTTCTTTTGTGTTTTGTTGAAATCAGCATTGATTTTGTTTTCGAAGGATTGATTACCATCCCATTGTTTTCACACCATTTAGCAACCAAATAGAGATCATTTTGGAGATTTTTGGCGATGGATAAAATATCTTTGTGTGAACAATGCAGGGTACTGTCATCAGCAAACAAATCTATCTGACTTGATTCATTCGACTCTACTATTTTATTGCCAGGATATTCGGAATTTAAATCTATGCTCTAGCATATCGGACTGTACTTGATGGAATAAATCGCAGAACCTTAAAATGACCCCATGAGGTGAGGCACACAAACTTTCGCTATACCTTATAATAGCATTAGTCAACACCTTACATTCGGGCCGCATCGCTTTAGACCATTAACCACAACGAAAGATATACGGTACAAACCTCAAGAATAGCTAAAGACATTCCTTCACTCTTAGAAGAATTAACGTAAACAAAAGCCTGTTTAATAGCAGCATGTGTATCATCTGATGGAAGTCCAGGAATATAACAAACACCTTCCAATCTAAAACATACAGAAAAAACCCAACCATTATGTATTTGCCACTGGCTTCTGGGTCGTGATATTTGAATTTAAAGGAGCTAAATCGCTAATATTTGGGACCTAGAAGTTGACAAAAATGGGTCGCAAGGCATATAATAATGTAAATGAATGTATATAAACTTATTTACATTCAATCGTTTTTGTTTTTACAGTGAATTCTAATGAGTTTTGTTAGGCGAAATATGCCAGAAGTCTCAATCGAATGGCAATCTCTAGCGTCTGCTTATTCCCGTCTACACCGATACTATTTATTGCGCATGCTCTCCAGATAAGAATGTGGCGTCACGTCACCGTTTCACATGACTTGACATGTCTAGACTCGTTCTTCGTGTCCCTTCTTACAAATGGCGCAAGAAACGCATTATGGTACACGATTCGTGTACATTGGTAAAAGGTTTATTTTGTCTTAAATATTGGACATCAGAGGTCAATCTTTTCCTGGTAAGATCACAACATCAATGTTGATTTAAATTGATAAATAATTCGTGTTTACAATGTCGAAGACTTTGGATGATATTGAGTTAGAGACTTAGCTACTTTAAGTATGGCACTAAGTGAACCACCTAGCGAACTAGTTCTCTTTATCAATAGCTGCTGATCGTCATATCCAAATAACTCATTTTAGCTTAATCCAGCTAAATGTTAACAAAGTAAACTGACCCTTTAATTGAGCTCAAAAACTCCACATAATATTCCTCTTCTAGCTGTGTATAAAATAAAATAACGTTATTATACTATAATATCAACGCTTATACAATAAAATAACGTTATTATACAATAATATTTATCTTATACAATAAAATAACGTTATTATACTATAATATTTACCTTATATAAAATAACGTTGTTATACTATAATATCAACGCTAATACAATAAAATAACGTTATTATACAATAATAATATTTATCTTATACAATAACATAACGTTATTATAGTATAATATTTATCTTATACAATAACATAACGTTATTATAGTATAATATTTATCTTATACAATAACATAACGTTATTATACTATAATATTTACCATATATATATATATATATATATATCAACGCTTATACAATGATCATTCAATTAAAGATGTATTATACATAATACCGACAATAGCTTAATATATATGTTGAGAGAGAGAGAAAGAGAGAGAGAGAGAGAGAGAGAGAGAGAGAGAGATGGGATTTAACGTCCGATCGATACAAACCAGGTCATTTCGGGACTAACATATGGTTCAATTTTATTTCAATAATTCGCTTGCGCGTAGGGGTCTTTGGCAGTGGGAGGAAGCCGGGGGACCCGGAAAAAAACCCATATGGTTGGACAGGCGACCCTATTCCTGGTCACTTACAAATTGGTAATCGAAACCACACCAATTGACTAAAAATAAAAACAGCTTACCTTTGGACCAATAAGTATGAAATAAATATTTTCGTCTTCTTTGTGCCAATCTGAAATACGAATCAGTAATACTTCCATGTCCATGTTGTTGTTTTTAATACAAATCGGTGGCATATCTTAGTCGGTGATAAAATATATGTTTAGATATCATGTTATTCGACTATACAAACTCGTGATTCGATTTCACCATAGTTCTTATAGATAATTATACCACCTTGCTTTAATGGGCTACAGAATATCCGAGGAGGGGGGGGGGGGGGCACTAGACTAGAGAATATCTGAGTTGGGGGGTGGGGTGCATTTCATTGGACTGGACTACAAAGTATCTAATGAGGGTATTTTCCTATACTGTAGTGTATTTAAAGTCGGTATTCCTTCAACTACAAATTATTTAAAGTGGGTATCCCTTCAACTACAGAAAATATAAACTGAGTATGTTCCTGTAAGGCGGTGTATTTAAAGTGGGTATTTCCCTAAACTACAGTGTATCTAATGAGGGTATTTCCCTATACTGTAGTGTATTTAAAGTGGGGATTTCCCTATAAAGAGTATTTAAGTGGGTGTTAAAATACCAATACAATATAACCTATTAGTAAGTGCAGGAGAACCGCACTAAAAACAAAATAAAGCAGACAAAACAAACTACATCTACAGACATGGCAGGAAATTAACAACAAATATCAAATCATATGAATGGATCCGGGCGGGGGGGGGCGTAAGCGTCCACTGCGCTGTACATTAATCATTTATCATAAAGGGGCCCATACACGTTCAATAATTCCGTCAATATTATTGACTCAATATATTGACTCAATATATTGAGTCAATAATATTGAACATATGTGGGCTATATTGATGTAAAATATTGTCAATAACCATCATTGCGTCAATTTATTCACGGATCAAAACCATTTTGATTTTTATTGATGGTTCATCAATATATTTTGAAAAATGACCAAAAAATGATGAAATTATTGATGGAAATATTGAATCGTGTGTGGGCAATTCCTGTCAATATCATTTACTGCGCTGTAAATTAATCATACGAATTGTTTTGCGTTTGTGATTTTTGTTCATTTGAAAAATTCATAAAAGGGGCGTTTACTTACGTGACATGACCTGAACGAGATATAATGGGTCTTTAACAGTTCTAATACCACCCACCCATACAAACAATTTAACATCCTGTAAATCTCTTGTTTCATCTATTAATTGTTTTGATTTTAAATATGAAGTTAAAATGAACGTCGATGGTCTGGTTATCACAGCTGAAAAAAATATACAAAATACAAAACCCTCCTCAAAACGTCTCAGGAAATAGATCTTTCAAGTAACTTGTATTCCAGAGAGAGAAAAAAAAATGTGGTTTAACGTCCACTCGACACAAACGAGGGATAACACATGGTTCAATTTTATTTCAATAATTCGCTTGCGCGTAGGGGTCTTTATAGCAGTGGGAGGAAACTGGAGGAAACGGAGAAAACCCACGAGGTTGGACAGGCGACCCTACTCCTTGTCACGTACAACCGGGGAATCGAAACCAAGCCAGTTGACTCAATGACAGACCGTATGATACAGCGCGCGCGTGCTAACCATTCGCCATCCAACCCCCAACTTGTATTCCATGTACGTGACAAGGAGTAGGGTCGCCTGTCAAACCTCGAAGGTTTTCTCCAGGTCCTCAGGTGCCCCCCCCCCCCCAACTGCTAAAGACCCTATTTCTCTCTCTCGTGGTTTAACATTCACTGAATAAAGATTAACTTATTTGTCCTAATTTACGACGGTGTGTCTTTGGACTCGGGAGTAGCGGTGGCTCAGTGAGTAAGACGTTGGTTCGCTATCCTAGCGGTCTCGGGTTCGTTCCCAGTGTTTGCTGAGAAAGTTCAGGACAAAGGGTCTGGCAAGGGACAGTGTCTAGTTGTTCGGACGAAACGACAAACGGAGGTCACGTGTACACATTGACATGCACGTAAAAGATCCCTTAGCTGTTGGAATTCGAAATAAACGTAGGCGGGACGGGAGTCCCTCGTAGCACATTAGCCCAATTGGTACAGAACATTAGGACGCTAAAACCCATTTCATTTCGTTATTTAAGCTTATTTCTGGATGTGTGTATAAGTTCTTTCGACTTAATTATATCACCAATTTACACCGTACGTAACTAACGTACGAAAATTACATGGTAGCTGGCTTTTTTTTTTCGCTTCTCTGTAGGTAGAGCGAGTCTGTCGTTCAGATTGCAATTTACACCTGTCTGTCTGAACAGGTAAACCAACAGGTAAACCAACATATAATATTTACCTACCTTGTTTTATTTGAACTATAGTTTCACTACCTATATTTGGCTGTAATAAAAGAGAAAAACAATAAATGAGGTGAGTAAGGTCATTTTTTTTAGAATAAAACGATTTGGGTGAGTCGGAAATTAAATAATTTCTTTACATACAGGTATATACAGGTATATACAGGTATATGCAGGTATATGGTCCCCCGAATTGCTGTTAAAGAGTGATATTATAAAATGATAAAACCCACAGCTGACTAACTGTTATTTAGCCCCGGAAATGAAATTTAAAAATTAACGTGTACACGTTAGTATGCACGTAAAAGAACCCTTGACAGAATAGGCTGTAGAGCCGCTGTCTGGGCAAGGTGTAACTCATAGTATACTGCATGACGTATGTTCGTTTTCATTATCACAGTTATTGCAGAAAGGTGGGGTCTTAATTATCATCTTAATTCATTTTCGTTGTTCAGTTATTCGGGTTTCGACTATGGTGTGTACTTTAAAATACCATAAATTAATCCACATAAGCTATTTTAAAACTAGAGTACATAATAAAATTTTAGAAGCAATAAAAATAAATGTAAAGTAACTTAAAGTAGCCAAGTCTCTAACTCAGTGGTTCTCAACCTTTTTTGCCGGACGGCACACCTTGGATGACAAATATTTGACTTTTGCAAAATAAAACATGTTAAGTCAGACGGCTTACAACCGTAGAAAGAGATTAGTCATAGACACATATAATGACTCAAACTAAATAAAGAAATGCACAGCTAGGAAATTATCAGTATACACCAGAGAATACTCAATTGGGATGGCTGGTTTTTCGCATTTTCTTAGTGTGACGTTCAAAATTTCGTGGCACACATAGGTAGATCTCGCGGCACACCAGTGAGCCGCGGAACACTGGTTGAGAATCGCTGCTCTAACTCAATATCAGACACAGAGCGTCATTTGTAATGAAGTGAATGGATGAATGAGCCTAAACATACCCCACATGGGAAGACTACCATGATTAGAGATTATGTACAATAAAAACAGAAACGACTGAATGTAAACCAGTTCATATACATTCATCATATTACAATCATTTCTAGGTGCAACAGAATAGCGATTTAGCTCCTTTAAGGGCTCAATACCACTCTTGTTGTAACTGAATAATATGTCCCAATCTTTATTCTGATCAACAAATTGTACTATTTTACAATATTCCAATTAATTGATGATGCAAATTTCATCTTAACACACCTAATTTAAAAAATTGGAAAAATTCAACTAAATGATTTGAAAAACCTGACGTAAAGCTTTACAAATGTGACTTGGATTTAAAAATATTTTTGAACCCTCTGGACAAGTAAAATAGGATTTAATGGATCATTTACACAACAGGTAAGACACTAACACATCTAGTACTTAGAATAAGGCTATTTTTTATTTTCTGGAGATGTCAAGCCAGCAAGAGTGTTATTGTCCCTTTAACTTAAGTTCACATAATACTGCTTTAAATTATTATTGTGCTTAATGAACAACGATGCTATATTGTCATAAATATATACACAAACGTTAGGCATAAATAAATATACACAAACTTTAAGCATAAATATATACATAAACCTTAGCCATAAATGAATACACAAACGTTACCCATAAATATATACACAAACCATGGCCATCAATATATACACAAACCTTAGTCATAAATATATACATAAACCTTGGCCATAAATATATACACAAACTTTAGTCATAAATATATACACAAACCTTAGCAATAAATATATACACAAAACTTGGACACAAATATATACACAAACCTTAGTCACAAATATATACACAAATCTTACCAATAAATATATACACAAAACTTGGACACAAATACAACATACTCTTACCCATAAATAGTGTATTCTCTTTCTTAACGATTCGCCAAAAACAACCATGTATCTAAAATAGATGTTGAAACAATCACACTCCTGTCTCTATAATATAAATACGTACCTGAGAAATATAAATGTCAGTGGGTAACTCTTCTAGGTTTTCATTTGTACAATATACTGAGGTTGCAAGATTTAAAACAATTTATTTTGCTGTACTGTTGCATTAGTATAGGCTTGCCCACATCAACAATGGGAGTAGCGGTGACTCTGTTAGTAAGCAGCTGGTTCGTTGACCAGGTCTCGGGTTCGTTCCCGTTGTTTGCCGAATAAATTCCTCGAGTTTGTCCAGCGTGCTTTCCCCTTTTTCAGTGGTACAGGACGGATGGTGTTTAGTCGTTCTAATGGGAGGGGGGGGGGTGGATGGCCGAATGGTTAGCACGCACGCGCGCGCTGTATCATACGGTCTGTCATTGAGTCAACTGGCGGGGTTTCGATTCCCCGGTTGTACGTGACAAGGAGTAGGGTCGCCTGTCCAACCCCGTGTACACGTTACAACACATTCAATAAATAATAAATAAATACTTTATTTTACCTGGCTTTATCAGCAGCATGCGTCATTACATCTAAAGCTTTTATATCTGTATGGTATTTATTGACATCTGTACCTCCGATTATAATAATATATGGTATATTACAGTCTGTAAATAAACAACAATACCACGTATTATATGGTACACAACAACACTACCACGTATTATATGGTACATAACAACAGTCCCGCGTATTATATGGTATATAACAACAGTCCCACGTATTATATGGTATATAACAACAGTCCCACGTATTATATGGTATATAACAACAGTACCACGTATATATATATAGAGAGAGAAATGGGGTTTAACGTCCAATCGACACAAATCATGTCATTTCGGGACTAACATATGGTTTAATTTTTTTATTTCAATAATTCGCTTGGGCGTAGGTGTCTTTTAGCAGTGGGAGGAAACCGGAGGACCCGGATAAAACCACCACGTATATAACAACAGCCCCAGGTATTATATGGTTCATAACGACAGTACCACGTATTATATGGAACATGACCACGTATTATATGGTATAAAACCGTACCACGCTATATGGTATACAACAGTGCCACGTAGTATATTGTATACTATAGCAGTACCACGTATTATATGATATATAACAACAGTGTCACGTGTTATATATTACTGTCTGTAAATAGAGAGAGAAATGGGGTTTAACGTCCACTCGACACAAACTAGGTCATTTCAAGACTAACACGTGGTTCAATTTTATTTCAATAATTCGCTTGCGCGTAGGAGTCTTTTAGCTGTGGGAGGAAACCGGAGGATCCGGAGAAAACACACGAAATTGGACGGGCGACCTTACTCGAAACCACGCCATATGACTCAATGTCAGACCAAATGATACAGCGCGCACGTGCTAACCATTCGGCCACCCAACCCTCATGTCTGTAAATAGACAACAAGTACATGTATATAGACCAGTGCCCTGCCAGAAATAAAAAAACTTGAACTAAATTCAATATTCGAATAGTAACCAAAACATTATAACAGTAAAATTAGAAATCGATACGATGTCTAGTTATTTTTATATATATATGAATACACAATTTAACGTTAAATAATTTGATGTGATAAAAAGCCTCATTAATAATTGTGTGGAGTCTAGATTACCTTTCAATAAAACATCTCATTAATAATTGTGTAGAATCTAGCCTACATTTTAATAAAATGTCTCATTCATAATTGTGTGGAATCTAGCCTACATTTTAATAAAAAAAAAACTCATTCATAACTGTGTGGAATCTAGCCTACATTTTAATAAAACTTCTCAATCATGATTGTGTGGAATTTAGCCTACATTTTAATAAAATGTCTCATTTATAATAAAACGCCTCATTCATAATTGTGTGGAATCTAGTCTACATTTTAATAAAACGCCCCATCCATAATTGTGTGGAATCTAGGCTATATTTTAATAAAACGCCTCATTCATAATTGTGTGGAATCTAGTCTAGATTTTAATAGAACGCCTCATTCATAATTGTGTGGAATCTAGTCTACATTTTAATAAAACGCCTCATTCATAATTGCGTGGAATCTAGTCTATATCTTACTTAATAAAACGCCCCATTCATAATTGTGTGGAATCTAGTCTATATCTTACTTAATAAAACGCCCCATTCATAATTGCGTGGAATCTAGTCTATATCTTACTTAATAAAACGCCCCATTCATAATTGCGTGGAATCTAGTCTATATCTTACTTAATAAAACGCCCCATTCATAATTGTGTGGAATCTAGTCTACATTTTAATAAAACGCCTCATTCATAATTGTGTGGAATCTAGTCTAGATTTTAATAAAACGCCTCATTCATAATTGTGTGGAATCTAGTCTACATTTTAATAAAACGCCTCATTCATAATTGCGTGGAATCTAGTCTATATCTTACTTAATAAAACGCCCCATTCATAATTGTGTGGAATCTAGTCTACATTTTAATAAAACGCCTCATTCATAATTGTGTGGAATCTAGTCTAGATTTTAATAAAACGCCTCATTCATAATTGTGTGGAATCTAGTCTACATTTTAATAAAACGCCTCATTCATAATTGTGTGGAATCTAGTCTAGATTTTAATAAAACGCCTCATTCATAATTGTGTGGAATCTAGTCTACATTTTAATAGAACGCCTCATTCATAATTGCGTGGAATCTAGTCTATATCTTACTTAATAAAACGCCCCATTCATAATTGTGTGGAATCTAGTCTACATTTTAATAAAACGCCTCATTCATAATTGTGTGGAATCTAGTCTAGATTTTAATAAAACGCCTCATTCATAATTGTGTGGAATCTAGGCTATATTTTAATAAAACGCCTCATTCATAATTGTGTGGAATCTAGTCTAGATTTTAATAAAACGCCTCATTCATAATTGTGTGGAATCTAGGCTACATTTTAATAAGACTTCTCATTAATAGAGCATGCTCATGGATGGATTAAGCGCTATATAAATGTACATTATTATTATTATTATTAATAAATATGTGGAATCTAGCCTATATAAGAAAACTCCCCATTATTCAGTGTGTATAATATAACTTACCTTTTAATAAAACACCGGCTTTATAAAGATGAATTCCTAACAAACAGGTGATTTTATGTATCTTTATGTAGCGGCATAATTCAGCGGAAGTGGGAAAGGATTTGGGATCTCGAACATGACATGCAAAGTTATTATTTAATAAATACTGACTGAAAAATGAAAAAAAAATAATGTTATGAAATAAAGTGGGACAGAATAAGGAGAGAAAATAAAACAATTTATCTGAAGGATCAAAGAATTCTCAATCTACCATTACAATTTACGGTCTATAGTTCGAGGTCCCGTGTAAACATCGGCGTGCACGTAAAAGAACCCTCGAAAGTTGGAATTCGGGACGCGAGTAACCGGAAACTCCGCTCTCAGGGTAAATATTCGCTCATAGCACAGCGTTACACCCCGAAGCCCGCCCTAACCCCGTCAATAAAACACAGACTTGGCCATTTATATGCGACTACAGTAACATAAGGTACATGTAATTCTCCAACAGAATAAACACTAAAAAAAAAACCTAAAACATTTTTAACGACACGTGTGATTATCCTCATTAAAGATGCATTATGTAAGATTTAAAATCCTTATACGGCAACAAAACTATACAGTTATATGGGACAACAATCACTGGTTTATTATACACAAGCACGACGTTTCGATAAGTATTCTCTTATCGTTATCAAGCTAAACATATGATATAAAACACAATTTATATGGAAAACAATCACTGGGTTTATTTCACACTACATTTCAACAAGTTCTTCTTGTCGTTCACAAGTAAGTAATGACAGTATATAATTTATTTCTTGCTATTATACTGTACTGTCATTACTTACATGAGAACGACAAGAGGAAGTTGTTGAAACGTAGTGTGAAATAAATCCAGTGATTGTTTTCAATATAAATTTGTGTTTTATATCATGTAAGATTTAGACCAAGGGCTGGCAGTTCTTGCTATAATGGTTCCAATAACATATTTAAATTAATATATTAAAAATTTCATTCAAATTACTTTATACAGTAGTTGGTTATATGCTTGTCATGTGAATAAATGTCTAAAAAATAATTTATATAACACTTGAAGCTAAAAGAAAGACCTGTAATAGACAGATTTAGCTCTTACATAATACATGAGTAAACCATTAATCATTTTATAATGCTAGGATGTATGTCATAAAAGAGCCCAGGTAAGATGAAATTCGATGAAGAAAGGGCGGAGACGCCGTTGTCCGGGCAACATTGCGTATATCTGTATTAGTCTAGTTGATGCCGAAACGAAAGACATTAAACCAAATTTCCTTATTTTTGTGATTGGGGCCCTCCCTCTCCCTATTCCACATGGCCGCCTGTAGATTTCGTCATAGGTCACAAGTTGTAAACAGGGCTAGCGCTAACCATAACCCAAGACCAAGTCCTAAGCCTTACCCTAACCCTAACCCACAATCCTCGGCAACAATTAAGGAGAGAGAGAGAGAAATTGGGTTTAACGTCCACTCGACACGAACTAGGTCATTTCGAGACTAACATGTGGTTTAATTTTTTATTTCTATAATTGGCTTTCGCGTAGGGGTCTTTAGCAGTGGGAGGAAACCTACTCCTGGCGACCCTACTCCTTGTCACGTACAACCGGGGATTCGAAACCACGCCAGTTGACTCAATGACAGACCTTATGATACAGCGCGCACGTGCTAACCATTCGGCCATCCAACCCCGCAACAATTAGGTGCCTTAACCCTGTTTACACCCCGTGACCTTGGGGGAAATCTGCAGGTGGCCATGTGAAATAGATCTAACCGTAAAAGAAACGTTTCGCTGCATCCGAAACTCTTCGATTAATTTGATCTGAAAATGATACTTACTGTATACGATTAGCGGTTGAACTGTTGCCACTCTCCCGCCCTAGACTTGATAACAACATTAAACTTGACAACATGGTGTGTCTAGATATATCTAACAGGTGTCCGTGATGTTATATACCTTCCATTACCTCACCAATCTCAGTCTGTTGGTAAATATAATACAAAACCTTATCATTAATGGAGTTTTTAGATCAACTTCCGGCGCATGCGACAAACGTGATGGATGATTAAAAGTTGCACATACTGCGTCCGTGTGATAGTATTGCAATAAGGCAATAAGCCCGCTGAATATTGTTTAGCAATTTTATTATTTTTTGCACATCGTTTTTAGTGAATGTTATCTTCTTTCGCTTTATTAAGCTTAATGAATCCAACTGGAAAAAATTAAATTTTGCTCTGCTATCGTCCGTAAAATGCTAATTATGTCTATTATGAACAAATGTTTACATGGAGTAGACGGGGATACAAGATGGCGTACAAAATATACGCAACAAACAAATTAGATCATAGATCCTACATAAACGGCCAAGTCTGGTCACGATTGATTGCGCAGTAGCTGATAAACATAGGTTGCCAGGCAACGAAACATACTCCCACAGCAGCTAAATCGTCCGGGCGGTCGACAATGGTTGTCGCATATTTATTCCTTTGTAGGTAATTGGTGGCTTTACAAGACAGTTCTATACAGATCAGATTATAATGTTTGCCGTTTGAAGGTTCACAAGGTTCTACAAACTGAAACAAGGGTCTCAACTCTGGAAGTAATCTACAGAAATTGTTGAAATTTGAGAGGTTTTTTGATTTTACTAATTTAAATAATGCATATAAATTTCATACAGATCACTGAGATCAGATGATCACTTTTGTCATTCAAACGTTCACAAGGTTCACAACCGCCATAACTCTAGAAATTATTGACGGAAATTGCTGAAATTCAATAGACATCTGTTTCACAAATTCAAATGATGCATATAAATTTCATACATATCGGATGATAACTTTCATCAATCGAGCATTAACACGGTTGAACAAAGTGAAACAAGAGCAATAACTCTAGAAGTAATTATTGTAAATTACTGAAATTCAATAGGCTTCGTGGTTTCACTAATTTAAATAATGCATATAAATTCCAGAAAGATCGGATGATCACTTTTGGCGTTAGAGTGTTCACCAGATTAAACAAAGTGAAACAAGGGCCATAACTCTAGAAGTAATAAACGGAAATTGCTGAAATTCAATAGCCTTCTTCGTTTCCCTAATTTAAATATTGCATATAAATTTCACAAAGATCGGATGTTAACTTTTAGCATTAGGGCATTCACAAGGTTCAAAAAAGTGAAACAAGGGCCATAACTCTAAACGTAATAAACGGAAATTATTGAAATTAAATAGGCGTTTTCAGCTCACTAATGTAATCAACATATATCAATTTTAAAACAACTGGGTGATAACTTTTGACGTTAGAGCGTTCACAAGAAATTGTGGACGATGGACGGACGAACGGACCGACGGACGGACCGACAGACGGACGGGGGCGACGGCAATATACGTCCACATTTCCATGTGGGCGTAAAAAAACGCAGTACAAATAAACAGATAGTACAGGGACGGATTAAACGGGAGGCTGACGGGCAAATTAGCCCTACAAAATATTGTATTATGTTGTATATTATGTTTGTGCCCATCAATCTATCTATCTACCGCACTGACATACAAATTACATTGGTGTGAATGTAACGTACAATGTCCAGAATATGCCAACTTTTTACTTTTGATGCAATCCCACTTAACACTGCTTTAACGAAGCAAATTTCTGTTCCAAATTATGACTGATCAATGGTCCGATTAACAACCAATAGCTAACTGAGTTACAAAAGCATTAGGCTTAAAACAGAGCTTCAAATTGGACCAAATATGTTTACATAACGTTACGTCATGACTCACGTTTTAATTATGCCCAATTAACCCGTGCATAGCAGAATATTGCAGAGAAACTAATGGCGTGACAAACGAGGCTATTAAATCGAAAACAATGTAAACAATACTGTATAGAGACGAACATACTTTCACCGTTTTTAATACCTTAAATCAATGTCCTAAGTTTTAGGGAAGACCCAGATTAAACGAAGGGCTGTCATGTTGCTGTACTTGGGATAGATTTGATTGAACGGGAAGAATAGACATACTCCCTCAAAAGCACAGGTATCAGAAGCCAATCCAGCAATGGCCAGAGAGGAATTTCTTAGGCCATTGCTTAGGGAATATGGGGGACCCATGCAAGCTTAAACCGGTCCTGGGACAGTATAATATGACAATTTGACTGGTTGTCCGGAGATACAGTCCTCAAAGTTGGATCAGTCAGAAAGCGCTGGCTCACTAACCAAGGTGTCCTGGGTTCGATCCCGGGGTTGGCCGAGCAAGTTCGCCAAGTAGTTTTCCACCGTTCTTTCCTTTTGTCAGCTTTGGCAAGGAAAAGCATAAAGTCTTTCGGGTGGGACAAAAAAACGAGGTCCTGTTTACATGTTAGCGTGTCCATATAAAAGAAAACCCTGACAATTGGAATTCAAATTTTTGTCATTAAACACTGCATGGCGTATGTCCGTCTTCATTCGACCTGTAGGTGCAGAAAGAAAGGGGAGCCACGGTGGATAAGACACTGGCTCGCTAGTCTAGATGTCTAACCTCGTGGGTTTTCTCCGGGTTTTCCGGTTCCCTCCCACTGCTAAAGACCCCTATACCCCATCTCTCTCTCTCTCTCTCTCTCTCTCTCTGTCTCGCTAGTCTAGAGGTCGCGTGTTCGATCCCTGCATTGGCCGAGAAAGTTCAGCGGGATTTTCCGACGTGGTTTCCCCTTGTCAGTTGTGCAGGACGGAGGGCCTAACAATGACAGCTGTCTAGTCGTTCGGCGTGCACGTAAACGATTCCATGGCGGTTGGCATAGTGCCGCTGTCCGGGCAAAATTTCCCTCATAGCACACTGTATTAGGCCAGTATAGGAGAACAGAAGGACGTTAAACCCCATTTCATTTCATTGCAGAAAGATAAGACTGTTAAACCACATTGCATTCATTTATTCGAACGCCTGGTTGTACGTGACAAGGAGTAGGGTCGCCTGTCCTCTGGTTTCCTCCCACTGCCAAAGGCTTTACGCGCAAGAGAATTATTGAAATAAAATTTAATCATAGGTTAGTCCCAAAATGAACTAGTTTGTGTGTCGAGTGCACGTTGGCCGAGAAAGTTCATCCATATATTTTCTGGCGTGGTTTCCCCTTGTCAGTGATGCAGAACGGACGGACTGACAAGGACAGCTGTCTAGTCGTTCGGATGGGACGAACAATTACCGAGGACCCGTGTACGCATTGACGTGCACCTAAAAGATCCCTTGGCAGTTGGAATTCGATATAAGAGTAGGTCGTAGCGCCGCTGCCCGGGCAAAATTTCCTTCATAGCACATGTATGGCGTATGCCCGTCTTCATTAGCCCAGATTAGGAGCAGAACAGTAGGACGTTAAACCCCATTTCATTCATTTCCAACGCCTCCCCTTGCGGCGACAAGGAAGTAGCCTATCAATCAGATATGGCTTTCATGGTACTATTAATAGCAACCCATCCATCCAAAATAATGAAATCGGCCTAAACATAAGATTTTTAACCAAATTATTTCAATCAATGAACTGGAAAACACAAACTTACCGGTATCAAACAGCTGTACAATAGGCAGCTCGAGCGCTTCCACAAAGGGAATCTGAATTTCATAGACGATACTAGTTCAATTCAAACGTACCCAGCCTTCTTCAGTCAAACAAATAACGAACAAAGTACACAATAAATACTCACATCAACGTAATAGATAGTAAGTGACCAGTACTTACCAAACTGACATTTCACTTCTCGGTCACTAGGTCATGTTATTAAAGATAAATCGAACATTATTATCATTCAAGATGCATTTTATCTGTCAACATTTACGTCACCGGTAGTCTCGATTTGTTATTCAAACAGTCTGGATAAAAGAGACTGAAAATGCCTTTTAAGATTAGTCTCCCTTTAATAGAGAAGCAAAGCCAACACAGCGCGTGACAAATGCGGGTTGAATGAAATGGGGTTTAATAATAATAATAATAAAAATAATAATAATAATTACTTTATTTCAAAAGGGTTGAAAATTAGGCCAATGACCTTTCTTACATTTTGCTCTTTAAACAAAAAAACAAAACCCAAGAAAAAAAAGGTGGGCGTTGGATGGCCAAATGGTTAGCACGTGCGTGCTGTATCATAAAGCCTGTCATTGAGTCAACTGGCGTGGTTTCAAATCGCCCTACTTCTCTGCATCGACTGGTCTAATGAAGACGGACAGACTCCATGCAGTATGCTATGAGGAGAATTTTGTCTGGAAATCGGAGGGAATTCAAACTTTACTGCCAACCATAGCTCTAAAATACCTACTGTAGACTGTGCACCCATCCTAAAAACAACATTGGAGCAAGCTGGCTACGGACCTGGTTACGCTAATATATATGCAAGACATTTATTTCACTTGTGTTATATGCATTTCACTGGGAGGGGCTATATGATCGCTCCACGAGGCACCAAATGTATATAATTGACAAAAAATATATCTTTAGCAATTGCGAAGCTTTGGTAAAATGTTAAAAACTTCAAGCAGTATTTCTTCTCCGAAACTTTCGGCCCGAAATGATATCATCTGCATTTGCGCGTGAGTGACGGACGGACAATGGTTTTCATAGAGTCACAACACAGTTTAGAACATAGAATGTTCTGTTCTTTTTAACGAAATTAAGTAATAAAACTTTATTACAAATTTCCGACTACATATAAACTTCTAACATACAGATTTAACAGAATCAAAGTGAAATACCAGTAGACGAAACGATTATAACTAGTTTACAGATTCGATATTTAGATAAAGAGCTGGTCATTCATGCTATATAATAGTTCATATATAGATAATGAAAAATGAATATATTGAAAATTTGAGTCAAATCGCTTTATTCTGAGCGAATATATTTCGCGGTTAGGCCAGCGGATGTAATTAAATTTGTATTAATTTTAATAGAAATATGACTTTTAATATATAAGAATAGAAAGGCAGTCAAAGTGAGTGCAGTCACACATTTTCGGACAATTGCGGGCTGGGCCGCTCACATAAGTGTTTAACGCAGATATTGATAAACCACTCAATATTAAAGCCACCAAAAGGTCTAGAGAGTTGATTATGGACGTATCACGTTAACAAATGTCTAAATAATATACAGAAAAGCATCTTACAATAGACAAATTGAGCTCTCACATAATACGTCTTTAACTATCTGCATGTTCAATAAAATGGTTTTATGCGATATACTAAACTAGTTGACCGACATTTTAAGTCCTTAATCAACGTATTTTGAGAATTTTTATTCTGTTTTCATTTAATAAAATTGAAAAGGTTTTAGTGTATATTAACTGGATTAGGACCGAATTACAAAACAGTATATTGATTGTTGGATATGGCGGCCATCTAGGACAGAGAGTAGAGTAGTTACGATCGTAGTTCTCCGTGTGTACAATGCATAACCTTAAGTGAATAGTCACATACATTTATTTTATACGCGGACTTTTCAATAACACCGATATTCAGCTAACAGACCGATGACAGAATTTTATTACCTATAGACACAATATGATTTTAAAAAGTTTGACTTGTATTATAGTAAAGCATATTGAAAACACCAATGGCGTCGATATAAGTGGATAGAACATCTAATTGACAAATTCAAATCAATCAATCACGTGCGAAAAAATCTAGTATAACGTCACGAACACACACTCTGAAAGCAGTACTTGACAATCGAGAATATATTCTAACTTTGCTTTGAATAGATCGATCTGACCCGGAGTTAACAGACCATTCTCTGACTTAAGTTAAGAATTTACTCAAATTTCAATCACCGTTTATGAGAAATATCTTTGACCCAGAAACAAAAAAATGTGCACATAGTTTCTTATTGATGTATTTGATACATTAAAACAAAAAAGTTTTATAAAGGAGTATATTCCGTTAAAATAAGACAAACAATTTTGAGTAAATTCTTAACTTAAGTCTGAGAATGTTTTCTGAACTTGGGGCCAGGGGATTCGGACTGATTAAGTTAAAGGCTCAATACCACTCTTGTCGTAACTGAATAATATGTCCTAATCTTTATTCTGGTCAACAAATTGTACTATTTTAGAATATTTCAATTAATTGATGATACAAATTTCATCTTAACACACCTTATTTAAAAATTTTGAAAAATTCAACATAATGGTTTGAAACGTCTAACGTAAACCTTTTCAAATGAAACTTCGATTTAAAAATATTTTCGAACCCTCTGGACAAGTAAAATAGGATGTAATGGATAATTTACACAACAGGTAGGACACTTAAACATCTAGTACTTAAATAATGATATTATTTTTTTTCTGGAGCTTTCAAGCCAGCAAGAGTGTTATTGTCCCTTTAAGAAAATTGTAGGCCTATCCATGTTGGATATTTTTGTGAAGTTCTTGCACACTTTCGTCAAAATGAACCATTCTGTATTATCCGCCTATATAAATATCGAAGAGCGACATCCTTCAAATGTTCTAAATACATTTATATCTCTATGGTTAGTGCTTAATGATAAGGCCAGCTCAATCGTTCGTCATAGGTCACGAGATGTAAACACGGCTAGCACTAATCCCAACCCTAACCCTGGACCTAGCCCAATGCTTATTCTAACCCTAACCTACAATCTCGCCAACGATCACGTGTTCTAACCTTAATTACATCTCAACGACCTTGACAAAAATTGAGCTGGCCTTAACAAATAGATTTAGCCATATCTCTATGGTATTTCCCGGAAGAAAACGGGATAGAGTTCGCCTTTGCCATTATTCCAAGCATAGAGTCTTCGATCACCAGGATTATAGTCCAGCATTACGGTGTTCGGGGATTTCTGTCTCACGCCATTCGCAAACTGCAGCTTGCCATCCTTGAGAATTTTATCTCGACCTGTTTCGGTGTCGTAGCGGTACTTGATAAAGGTCGGCGAGTCTTTGTAGGAGTTGGTGCCGTAGAGGACACCGCAGATCATGAAGGTGTTACCGACCATGGCTTTGGGATATCTGGTCATCCAGGTCTTCTCGATCATCAGGTTATCAGCATTAAGCTTACTAATCATCATCTTTCCCGCGGAATCTGGCATGGCGTACACAACCCACAAGCCCAACTCGTCCACGGCTAAATCGATGTCACTATATCCCCCAAATTGATAAGGATACGTTCCCTGGACTCCCGCTGTCCCTAAACTTACTTCCGCGACGATGAGCATTTTATCCATATCATATTTGACAATAGTGTTGGAGTCGGCTTTCTGACATATGAGATGGGCCATATACATCACATGACCCGTCCCCTCGCATCTAAACGGCAACGTATGAGCTTTGGAAAAAAGTTGATATTCTTGGTCAATTTCCGAATCGTATTCTATAAGTTGATCCGACGATCTTCCGCCTTCCATGATCCATAGCTTGTCGCTAATAGCACCACCATCTCTCATTATGGTTCCCTTTTTAACTCGGACATCCATAGCATGACCGTTACCAATAGCTGCTATCTCTAATGGGCAGTTACCTGAAAGACAGGAATGCGAGGATTAACTCAACACTACAAGATGAAATGAAATAAAATGAAATGGGGTTTAGCTTTGTACTGTTCTGCTCCAGCTGGGCTAATGGAGACGGACATATGCCATACAGTGTGCTATGAGGGAAATGTTGCTCGGGCAGCGGTGTTGTTGTTAGTTAGTTGTATTTTACGTCCGCTTCCACCGAGGTGATATCGCAGACAAAGGGCAGCGGTGCTACGGCCTACTCTTATATCGAATTCTAAGTGCCAAGGTCTCTTTTACGCTCACGCCAATGTGTACGACTAGACAGCTGTCCTTGTCAGGCCCTCCGTCCTACATCACTGAAAAGGGAAAAATTAGAACAGTTGAACGTTAAACCCCATTTCATTTATTTCATTTAATGGAGAGAAAGTCTGTTTCTGGGAGGCCCGTGGTTTTTACCATGTCGTTAAAACTTGCCGCTATATAAAAACGAAGATTATCTGTTTAACTTTAAAGCTGACATTAGTCGACTGTCAGTCGAATTATACCCTTAGAAAAAATTCCTATAGGTTACCCGACTAGTTTTCTATAGAACAATCTAGAGGGTTCCGTGGGGGGGGGGGCACATTTTCTATAGATTAACTATCTAGCTATAGAATTCTAGAGAGTTCGGGGGGGGGGGGATCACATTTTCTATAGGATGAGATTAGGCCTGCAAAAAGATTCGCCCCACCCCCACCCCCTGTGAAAAAATTGTTGACCATAAAAACAATATTACAGCAACCCCGAGAACACTTCCGACCCCACCCCACCCCACCACCTTGTTGCTCTGAGCTAGTTAAGGCCCTGGTGAGATTCTATATTATTCTACATAATTTTGGGGGCATGTAGGAAATAACAAATCCCAAATATTCTACAGTTTCTATAGTGCAAATCCCGTAATTTTTCCTACAGATTTATGCTAAAATTTCTATAAGCAGTTTCTATAGCGTGTTCTGCAGTAAATTCTACAGTTATCTTTTTGTCTTTAATCAAGTTTTGTGCACAGTTGTCTCACTTTCTTCTGTCTCTTGTTTTTAACACTTCATAGTAGTACTAGTAGTATTAAAATATTAAATTCTATAAAGTTGTTATACATGTACATTGAATTTAAAAATTCAAAATTCAGCCAATGACCAAACAGTCTTTTCTTGGATTAGCTTTAATCAGTCCGTTAGCTAGCGGATAATGAAATTGACTTTCTAACAACAGAAGTCTAACGGAGCGTTAACAAACGACACGTTAGCAAGATAACGACCTGTTAGATTTAACAAATCTATAACTCAGATTTGAGCAACCGGTCCAAAGGGTTATTTTAAAATAGCACTGAACACAATGACTTTAAACAAGAGTCGGCTTTTCGGGTAGAAATCGTGGAACAACGCTTTTATTTTGGAGGTTGCGATGTTTAGTAACAAAAAAACGATTTTGACATTTGAAATGTTATATAAACTATTAATTAGAAATTTATTAACAAAACAAGACCACAATCGACTCTCGATGGCATCGTATACTCGAGATTTTAACTAGATTAAAACGGTTCGCCATTTAAAACTTTAATTTAAAAATAGGAAAGCGAGGCTAAGTCACGATTATAACAGTGCCCTGGTTACCACTGTGCACACATCTTGTCAAAACTACAAACAATGATAACTTGGCTGAGAATGAAGTAATTTGACTGAAATTTTAAATATTTTCTTTTTTTATCATCTATTTTTGAATTATTATAGCAAGAATGACCAACTCTTTATTAAACTCTTAACTAATGTATCTTTAAGTACTTTAACTATTATAGCGAGAACTGTCAGATCTTTATCTAACCGTACACTGATCTAAATGGTCTTGAAGCATGCACAGCTGTTATATTGAGTGAGAAAACACTACATATTTGACAAGTGTATAATATGAATGACACGAAAGATCAATTTGGATGTGAGTAAAAGACAAAATTGTTGATTTATTTTAAATTAATGCTTGATTTGCGTGCCAATTGCAAAGTTTTATTTGTCTAAAATTCTAGGCTCACAGATGGCAGATAGAGTCCTTGGGCGCCATTAGCTATTTTCGTACAATATCTCATGTGATTAAGAATAATATTCCGACATGGATTCAAACCGAACACAATCTGATTAAAATACAGATCTATATTTCCTTTCGTTTTTTTTTTTACTTTTGATGGCCTCTATTACATGAAGATCTGACCAGTTGCAGTCGGAGGTCGCCTCAGGGGTTATATGGGCGCCCTTTGACCCCATGACGTCAGGCATTTTGATTAGCTAATCAGCGTTAATGTTTCTAGTAGAATACCCACAGTTCCGTGTATCGCACGCCAAGAACTCGCTGCAACAGACCGTTTCATTGGCTAATCCCTCAGATCAACCAGAACGCGGATTATATAACAACTCTTCCAGATCATAACGCAGTAAAGACAAGTAAAACGAAATTTTGAACTATAAAATACGAAACGAAATTGGATCTGTATTTTAATTAGATTGAACCGAACGCTGACTTCAGGGGATGCCGAATGTTGCGATTTTCAATTCATCTTTGTCAATAGAATTTAACCGTATTGAGCCATTTTTGGACTGATATAAGAGATTTAACTTTCATAATAATAAATTGTAAGAGATTAAAAATCACTCAAATGACAATCATCGGGTTTCAGTCAGAAACAAATTAACAGAGAGAGAGAGAGAGACAGAGAGACAGAGAGAGAGAGAAATGGGGTATAACGTCCAATCGACACAAACTAGGTCATTTCGGGACTAACACGTGGTTCAATTTTATTTCAATATTTTACTTGCGCGTGGGGGTCTTTAGCAGTGGGGGGAAACCGGGGGACCCGGATAAAACCCATGAGGTTGGACAGACGACCATACTCCTTGTCATGTACAACCGGGGAATCGAAACCACGCCAGATGACTCAATGACAGACCTTATGATGCAACGCGTACGCAATTACAATTCGGCCATCCAACCGCCCTAACCAAATTATTAAACCGTTGCTTAATTTTTCGTTTCAATCTTTTCTCGACTCAAATCGCAATAAAAGACCCAGCTGAATAATTCATTTTTAAAAAGAAACAATAACGCATGAAATATTTTTTACAATTTTGAAAAACCAAATCTAAAAATTGAAGACATACCTTGGTTATTTGAAGGCCTGTGTCTTTGTTTCTTGAGTTCCTTGGACATCATTCTTCTCATGGTGATCATCGTCTTGTTAACGTATCCAATCTGTTCAACGATATCATCATCAGCCTTAGCAGCACCACGCATGGCCTTTGATGTTATATCCAACAAACTGTTCAGAGAAGAAATAAGCTTCGACAATTCTGCGTTCTGTGTCAAAATGGCCGTCCTCATGAAGTTGTACTGATTCCTAATGGCCGCCAACATCCCTTCTTTTAAGGCTTCTTTGTTCGGGGCCAATCGTCGGAGCTTTTTCAGATCTGACGTCAAACCTTCATCGCCCTCCGTCAGCAGGGTAGTGATGTTGAACATGGCGCTGGAGTGCATCGAAAGACGCTGTTTAAGCAATTCTATATGTTTTGTGGAATTTTTCACGGTGTTCGACAATGGGATGCTATTCATGGTGTTCATGTCCCCATACGGCATCCAGTCCTGGGTGTTCACTGGGGGCATCTCGCCGGAAGATTCGTATCTGCTGGAAGGCTGACTGACCACGGCGTTGTGGGCTATTATGTTGACTCTGGCCGAGTCGCCCTTACACACAACCTTCATCGTATTTTTCACCAGGTCCATATCATACTCACATTGTTCATTTTTAATGGGTTGGACGCTAACAAAACCAACGGCTAGCAACGAGATCAAAAATACAAAAATCACAGAAAACCGTTTTCCTGGCATTTTGTCTTTACGAAGTCTCCCGTCTGCACTTGCCTGAATCAAATGATTAATCTGGAAGAATTGTTATAACATCCTTTCCCAAGTTGTGTCTTCATTAAGAAATCATTCAAACACTCAACGTTGTATCCCAGAGGATTCCACCGACTTTCTATCGAACAATGATACAATGTGGTATTTGAAATTAATTAAGATGCATTCGGAACACCATGATTTATTGCGTTGTTTGATTCTGGACAGCTTAATAACCACTCTCAACAACGAAGCAATTTTAAAGTCAAAATGGTTGTTGGACGAGGAGAAGAGGGTTCAGAACCCATTCATTACTGATTAATTTTACATTAATCGAGATTAAATGTTCTTTAGTTCAGATCGTTAGCGGTTTATAAATACATAGCAGTACAATAGTAATAAGGATTAAAGGGGGGGGGGAGAGAAATGAGGTCTAACGTCCAAACGACACAAACTAGGTTATTTCGGGACTAACATACGGTTCAATTTTATTTCAATAATTCGCTTGCGCGTAGCGGTCTTTAGAAGTGGGGAGGAAAACCAAACCTTATGATACAGCGTGCACATACTAATCATTCGGCCAAAGGGTTAAAGGAACTAAGTCTTTAACCAAATATCATCCACAGTCTTCAGCATTGCAAGCACGACTTACTAATAAATTTAAATCAACCTTGATGTTGTTATCTTACAGTGAAAAGGTGGACTTCTTGTATTCAATATTTAAGACACAATGGACATTTTAAACTTGGCCAGGATGCTTTCGAGCGCCATTTGTAATGAAGTGACTGGATGAACGAGGCTAACACATATCCCACAAGGTAAGGCTTCCGGAGTAGACTGTAATAACCAGACGCCAAAAACTGCCATTCAATTTGCACTCTTCGCGCATTTCGCCAAACATAACTAATTAGAAATTACAGTAAAAACAGAAACGATTGAATGTAAATCAGTATATATACATGCATAGTACGTTATTATATGTTTTGAGACCCATTTGTGTCCATTTCTAGGTGCCAAAGAATAGAGATTTAGCTCCTTTAACTTTATTATCTTGTCACTGCCGCTGTAGACGAGCGGTAATGGAACTGAACTTTTGACCAGAATGTAAACGTTTCGAATCAAAGCTTCGGCCCATTCGAAACTTTCTCTGCCTTTCTACAATCAGCTCCGCTGTGAGAGCAGACGAGGAGCTGGTTTACCGACATTTTTAATTCCTACATCGAGGATTTTAGCCGAAAACACTAAGTATGCTTCCAGAATTTTGAGAATTAGTATTTATTTAATCTTTGTGTGTATAAAAAGATGTAAAACGGATTATAACCGCATAGCAAAGTAGTATACTTATTTAACATACAATATGTAAGAGCTAAATCTGCCTATTGCAGGTCTTTCTTTAGGCATGAAATGATATATAAGCTATTAATTAGACATTTATTAACAAAACAAGGCCATAATCGACTCTCTATGGCATCGGACACTCGAGATTTTAACTAGATTAGAACGGTTCGCCATTTAAAAATTTAATTTAAAAACGGGAAAGTGGGGCTAAGTCTCGAATATACCAGTGCCCTGGTTACCACTATGCACACATCTTGTCAAAACTACAAACAATGATAACTTGGCTCAGAATGAAGTAATTTGAATTAAATTTCCAATATTTTGATTTTACATTATCTATTTTTGAGCTATTATAGGAAGAATGGTCAGCTCTTTATCTAAATCTTACATAATGAATCTGTAAGTGAGTGCCGTGACCATTCATTACACGGTTCATGGCAAAAAGAGAAAAAATTCAAATTCCAGATCACGGTAATCGATTTAGTGGCGCGAGGGCGGAGACTGAGCTATCCCTCAACCTTCCCTATGAAGTTATTCGGTGATCGGTCAAGGCTTCTAACGGCGCAATGGGCGGAGATTGGGTGAGTCTGTAATCCCTCAACCTTCTCTGTGATTGATCGAAGCCCATTCAAAGGGATATAAATAATCTTTTCATCGCGCTAGGGGCCCCGCGATTCTAGTCAGGCCCCGGACCCCACTCAGGTTAAGCTGGACTTTGGTTCTGTGTGTGCAAAATGGCCCAGGCCGTGAATAACCATTGTGTGCTCGTTAACTAAGAGGGGATCCTTGTTGAAACGTTATTACTATTAAAACAGTAGCCTAATTGTATTCCATAAAGTTTTGAAATCTGCAACGACCAAGAATACACACTCTTGTAGAATAATGACAAAACGATAAATATATTATACTGTATTGGGATTATCGGAGTTCGGGCGCTACAGCGCGGAATTCCGGAATCTTTAAGACTTGGAGCCGTTTTAAAATTCGCATTAATTTTGTTTTCTATTAAGCCGCTCTTAATTCGCCATTTTTTCTATAATTTAATGTGTTGAAATAATGCATTTTTACCAAGACCGTAAGATAAACCGAATCCACGGCTATGTGGTGAAATATAGTATTATAATCCTTCTGTGATTTGGTACCTGTAGGATATTGCAAGGTACAATTAATGAAGCAAGTCAAAATCTTTAACAAATGTTTGACTTACGGAGAAGTGGATCGCCTCAAGAGATTTAAAAACATCCTAGGGTCATGAAATGTAGGCACAAAGTGCCCCCTCTCCCCAATACCGGACGTATAAAACGTTACGGTTACATTATTTTGTTACATTAAGGGAAAGTTAGTTGGTTGACGATTGCCATTGGGGGGAGTGTCGTAATTTTGATACCAGGCTTGTACGTGATAGGGTTTAGGGTCGCCTGCCTAGCTTCATGTGATTTGTCTGGGTTCTCCCGTTTCGTCATAGCCTAATGTGGACTTATTGGCGTAAAGACTAAAATACATGTAAAGGTATTCTAATTGCTTGCACAGAAATCACCTAGTTTGCGTTGAGTGGGCCTCTATCTCACGATTTGCTCACAAAAACTCCTCTATAGTGGTTCGGATGGGACGAAAACCCGAGAAACCGTGTATAACATTGGCAGAACGTTAAGGATATCCCCTATCCCCTTAAAATAACGCTCATAGTACACGTTAAGGATATCCCCTATCCCCTTAAAATAACGCTCATAGTACACTATAATGGCGTATGTGCCGTCTTCCTTAGTCCTGTTCCTATCGAAAAGTAGCCAAGTCTTTAAATCAATATCATCCTAAGTCTTCGACATTGAAAACACGAATTATTTGTCAATTTAAATCAATATTAAATTGTGATCTTACCGGGAAAATATGGGCTTCTGATATCTAACATTAAGACAAAATAAACATTTTACTATTGGTACAAGGTTCGTGTACCATAATGGGTTTCAGTGGCCAGCTGTAACAAGGGACTCGAAGAACGAGGCTAGACAAATTCCACATGCGCAATAAATACTATCGATGTAGACTGGAATAACAAGACGCTAGAGATTGCCATTCGATTTGATTTGAAATTAGAGTAAAAACAGAAACGACTGAATGTAAATCAGTTTATATACATTCATATTACATTATTATATGCGTTCCGACCATTTGTGTCAATTTCTAGATCCCAAATATTAGCGATTTAGCTCCTTTAAACCCCACTTCAATTTCTCTCTGGAAGTTCGCTGGCCGATTTTAACCAAGCTCGACAGACCGAGTGTAATAAGTGGGGGGTTATATGTCCAAGTGGCGTGTTTTCCTGTTCTATAAGGCACAGTCGACTTGTAAAATCTATTTCTCACGCAAAGTCAGGCTTTAAAACAATCACTAGACTGGAATATTCATTAAATTTTCATCCGATCCCGAGAGAGACAATTGCTTTAATTTAGATGTTATTGCATCGGCCCCGTTACAAAAACATTCCTTTTCATTTGTGGATTTTGTCCAATTACTCTCCAGCGCGTTTTTACGTGTTCGGAATTTCTTTGATGACCAATTAATGAAAGCACGTAGTTAATTCTCAATTGGTATGTAAATTATGATGTAGAAGTTCCGACAAGTTAAAGAGAAATTTTCCATTACAAGCAACGAAAGAATAAACGCATTGGATATGCATACACACGCCTAGTCTTTGTGTATGATCATCTATTGACAACTTTATCAAACTTATAATTATTCTATTTATATGGGGGGCGGGGGGGGGGGGGGAATCCCCTCGGCGAAAAGTTTCGCCCCCCCCCCCCTTGTGAAAATTGTCGAACTTAAAAAATATAGATATACATTATACATTGTCCGTCAATTTTACAACACCACTGAGAACACTTCCCGCACCCACTCGTTGGTCTGAGCTAGTTACGGCCAAGGGCTAGCGCGTGCGCTTTGAATCATAAGGTCTGTCATTGAGTCAACTGGTGTGATTTCGATTCCCCGGTTGTACGTGACAAGGAGTAGGGTCGCCTTCCAACCTCCTGGGTTTTCTCCGGGTCCTCCGGTTTCCTCACACTGGACTAAAAACATATTCAAACTAATTAAACATACATCATGCTAGAGCTAAATCTGCATATTGGAGGCCTTTCTTTAGGCCTGAAATGTTATTTAAATTATTTACTAGACATTAATTGACTTATCCAGTCCATAATCAACTCTCGATGCCATCGCTAGCCTGTGATATTTAGCGGATTGAAATGCATTTTATGAAAAATAATTAAACGTAAAGTGGATAATCGAGACTTTGTTTTTTTTTTATCGTACCGACTTTAGTAATGATGATCAAGGTTAGGCCTAAAATTCAAAGGCTAATATCTCGGTTCAGAGTGGAGTAATTTGACTAAAATTTTCAACATATTCTATTTACTTTATCTATTTTTCTTTAACTATTATAACGAGAACTGTCGACTCTTTATCTAATCTTCCATAAATTCCCCTGTAATCTATCAAAAATTTGCTTCCAATCCCTCTCAAAACTTTGTATTCGTCGGGAGATACCGCAAGCTATAAGAATGTGTTTTTCGTTACTTACTGTCCATTTATCATACATATTGAGGCCTAAGTAAATTCTTAATTATTTTCTGTCAAATAATTTTCCGCCGTTTAATTGCAGTCTTTTGTATGTGACACCCCTCTGTGTTCCGAAAACCGCCTAACCATTTGATTAAGAAATAACAACGGCTCCATCAGTCAAGCTAGCACAAAAACAACGGCTCCATCAGTCAAGTTAGCACACAAAAAGATTGGCAGACAACCGTCGGGATTCTCATTTTTCAAA